TGAAAAAGCAGGTGGGCTTTTCACATTGGTAGTGAAATTATACTTAAATGTGAAATGTGAAATTACACTTAGTAAAAATTGATATGTGAAGTTACACTTAGTGTCACAAATATACTTAGTTAAAAGGTTTCTTTCCGTGGACTTGATCCTTCTGAAGCAAGAGGAACTATCTAGTCTAAATAGGAAGGGATCAGATGGTAGTATGTCTGAGTCTCTCCTACATAACATTTGCTTAAGGATTCCTAGTTTGTTAATAGTGCTAACATCAAAGAGGAATTACAGAGAAAAATAGCAGCATTCATGACATCTTTTCTTAACAACAAAAAAAGCCCCCTTTTTTCATAATGAACATTTAGAAATTTGGATAAGCAAAATGAGAATTCAAGTCACCGATGATGCCAAACCCCACCGACAAGCAATGTAAACATTCTGGGGTATGCCTTCCCGCCTAGGAGACTCACCTGGGTTAGGGATGGAACGCTTTGACCTCATCATTCACACATGCTGCTAGAGAGTCTTTAAAAAGAGGCTGCCCTACTCCTGCCTCTTTCCCCATGTCTCTGAAGAGGCTCCACTGAGATTCACAACCAGCAAGAAAGACTCACTAAAGACACAGACTGACCTGTGGCCACAGGGCTCCTGCTCCATAGGACACACCTGAAGCCTTGATTAATGCTATACAGAGGGTTCTGGTTAACAAAGTAGGTGGACTTTTAAGGAGTTCAACTACTCATATGAAATCAAGGGTAGACCTAAGTGAGCTGTGTCGGGCTGAGGGTTCTCTGTGGCACGAGTCCCACCGAGGGGAGGACGGCCGCCCCCCTTGTCAGAGATCTGCTCTGTGCTGAGGTCTGCATCTGTGTGTCCGTCACCCAACACACCCTGTGCCTGCGAGTTCTTACTAACAGAAGACCAAGCTTCCTCCAGAACACAGCACTGCACATCCCGCTAGTTCTGCAAAGCCACTTCTGTAATTCAGTCTCTCCTGCATTCAGGTTTTGCTGGGTCAGTTTTCAAAGATAGGTGCCTAAGAAAACATGGGGAAGAGGAGGAACTAGTAGCTACAACCACACACACACACAAAGTTTAACTCTTCAAATAAGCATAGAGGTATATAATTAGTATTTATCACCAAATCAGACTGGGTTCTAGGAAAATCATGCCATTCACCACAACTACCCAGAGACCAGTGCTTCCAATGGGCTCTCTGCCAATGGCACAAACAGCATGTTTTGTAAGAATTTAGATGTCACCAACATTAAGCTGCTGCCCAGGGGCCCATGAGGACTGCTAATAGCTCTGCAGCCATTCCAAAGTGAGAACCAGTTCTGTGAAGTTTGAAGCCCCGTCACAGGGCCTATGGAACCTTCTGTGAGGAAATCAGCATTAAGCCTGACTCAGGCTTCCCCGCCCACCACAACCTTGGAGTATTTGGTTATTTCAGGAGATGGATCCTTCAGGTTCTTTGCTTTAGGGATTTTACAGAAGCTGAAGAAGTCTCTGCAAATCTGCAAGTTAGCTTGGGTCTAAAACCCCTCCTCCTCTCCTCCCTCACCACAGAGCGACACTGCACCGCACCAGAGGCTAACAGTGTGTGTGCAGGTGTGGTGCTTTTTCATCCAGGGACTCGAGCACAGTAAGCGGCAGGTCCAGGATTTCTGACTCTTGGTGCGGCACATGTCACTTCAGCCCGCTGCTCGCTCTAGCTCTGTTCCCCAGCCCGGCGCCATCCGCAAATCCTGGCCACTTGTTAGAAATGCACATTCTTGGTCCCGTCCAGACCAATGGAATCAGAAGCCCTGTGGTGGGGTCCAGTAATCCAAGCTTTCGTGAGCCCTCTGGGGACTTTGATGCATATTTCAGTGTGAGAACCACCACTCTGGAGTAAATAGTAAATTCTACATAGAGTTCTAGGTTTTAGAAAAATTCTGATGAGCTACTTTTAAAAGCCAGGTCTCAAGAGAGCCAAGGGCTCTTTCAGTGTAAGCTGCCGCGGGACAGATGGACCTTGGCTGCATCCCCACCCTGCACAGAATCGCCCCTGCCCTTGGGTCAGTTATTTGCCCTCTCTGAGCTGCCTTTGCCCTCTCTGTAAAATGGAGGGCACTGACCTTGCACAGTTGTTCCAAGAATGAGATGAAATAATACCTAAGAGGAGCTTGGCACTTACAAAATAAATAACATGGATTTCTCCCCTGGCCAATGGAGTCTGCTATCTGAAATGCTCAGAAATCTATGTTTTTAGTAACCTTGTCCTTGATGTCCTACCAGCTCTTCTGAAATTTACCTCTATTTTGCTGAGAATGAATCCACCCCACCCACCACTCGTCCCCAGTGAATTAAACCTGACTTATTGAGGTCTTGGACTTTTGAACACCATTCCAAACTTTGAAGTTAAAGGCTTGTTGTTAAAATCTTAAGGTCATGCGACTGGGTACCTATGTAGGCTCAAATCTGACCTATCATTTTACAAGAGCTGTCCCCTGCCACGGGAGTGAAGCAGCACGATACTGTGCGTAGGGCAGAGAAGGGTAAATGGTGTCCAGAGCTCTGTGGGCCAAGAAGGCCAACAGCATGTCCTGCAGGATGAGGTCAGGTTGGTTGCCACTGTTCAAATCTAAGTTCTGCAGCTTGTGCTGCCCACCCACCGCACCCCATGATGATGCCTTTGTACAATGCCCAGGATATCACAGACAAGATGCTGATTCTGTGAGGCTGCTTTATGGCACGTCCGGGCTTGTCGTTCGAACCCACAAATCTTCTTGAAGGGTAAACTCAACTTGGACTTTCTTAGACTCTCAGTCATCTGTCTCACCTGGTTCTTGGCTTCAGGTAAGTTCCTCCCTTCCAAGTCCTTCAGTTTTGAAGGGATCAGGCTTTTAATATGTTCTACTCATTCCAAACTAGTAGGGTTGTGGGTAGCAGGCAACACAACAGCCTGATCTGAAATCCTGTTGCCTAACTGGCTGTGTAGCTGTGGGCAAGTTACTTAACTTCAGTGCCTCAGTTTGATCTTCTGTAAAATGAGATGATAGTATGTATGTTTTACAGTTACAATGAAGGTTCAGTGAAATCATACATTAAAAAGTACACTGTTAAGAATATAGCTGGCAGCCAAGATATCTATTATTTCAATTCCTTATTCTGACCAGAAATTTCACCTGCTCTCTTCTCTCTCTCACTGCAGAATTGGCTGAAGACCAGGCAGCCAGAGAGGAGGGAGGGCAAGAAACCACCTAGTGAATTCTGAGGTAATATAACCAAAGCATGAATGATTAAGAATGGACTGTCACTCAGGAAGTGTCATCTAGATCTTGCTCCTGAATGATCCATGAACAGGTATTATGTCATCACACCCTTGATTTGTGCCAGGTGCCCAAGAAGACTTAGGATATAAAGAAAAGGTCAACAAAGACATACTAGACAAAATTTACCCACCAGAAATGACCTTATTTTTATGCAGTGGAATGTCCATTGATTTCAACAAGTATCTGAAGCACTATTCTAAGTGCAGATAATGACAGTAAAAGACACTGGTCTCATGGAGGAAAGACCTCCCAGTATTAGATATAACTGAGGAAATCCTCTTTCATGCAACAAACATGCTAGTTAGTTTTAGACCGTTCTTAGGGAAAGACAATAATAACCACTCAGTAAGTGCTAGCTCCTACATTCTGGTCCCATGCCAAATATGAGACTCACATCACTCATCCTCGCGGCGGCCTCTGATTTACGCAGTGCTGTTACACACATTCTCCAGATTCTGAAACTGAGGCTTAGGAAGGTTAAATATCTGCTCAAGTTTCCACAGTAACTGGTAAAGTCAAGATTGGCTCAAACACCTGTGCTCTAAATGCTTACTTGTGTTTCTGCCATGGATTTCCAAAGGATTTTTATCAAGTGCCAGTAAAGAGAAGTTGAATTCAGCCAAGCCTATGCCATCCCCCACATAACCCTAATATTTGTCTTCAGCAGACCCTCCCTTGCTAAAAAAACATCAATGACTCAGACCTTACTTAGGACACTAAGACTTCCATTGAGATTTAAGGTCTTCTGAGACTTAGCCCCAACCTACCTGCCAGCTGCATCTCCTATACTTGAGCCAATGGAGCTTCTCGTCATTTCCTGGTGACTTCCATCCTACTCTACCCCTGGACCTGTTTGCTTGTAACATACATCTCTCTCTGCCACCAGTAACACTCAGAAGTTCCAGCCCCTCACTCAGAACCATCTGGGAACACCACTCTTCTGAAAGGCTCTTCATCCCCACCCCCACTCCAGAAAGATGAGATCTGAGCGTTCAAACCACTTGGCTTTACAGCTGCTCGGATGTCCACTTCCGTTAATGTAATTGACTCATCTTACTTCCATCTGTAATTTTCATGCACTTAGTCTGCTGCCTTTCTGACTCAATCAGGTTCACATATGGTTTATAGTAAACAATTAGGTAAAGGAAACGCCAAATTATTAAGTGTACCTTATTGTCATTACTTCCCAATTCTTCATCTACCTTACATGTTCTTCCGTATAGTCCACATTACCATTTTGTGTATTCAGAACACCTGAGCACACTGCTATGTGAGAGGCTCTCTTGGTGGCTGGAACGTACAGCTAACAAGCTGTCCCCAAGCCAAGTGACTGTTCTTTGCAATCAGAAACATTTTGATTGGGGGGTCTGTCTTTGGAGACAGAATTAGAAGACAGAAGACATCTAAAAGCTGCAGGTGATACATCATTTTGTGAAGGGAGATAAAATTATCAGTGCTATTTCTGATAAGGTTGCACCAGGGCATGTAGCTTAGATTTATTTGAGGCCACATCTCAGAACAAGAGGCCCCTAAAATATGATCTTCCTAAAATGCTGAAGTAAGAATTTCCATTCATTTTTACCAAACTCAGCCTTTACTGGTAAGTTTATAGGAAAACTGGGCTCGGTTTCTAAATCTGTGAAATAACCACTGTACCTAGGGAGTCCAAGTCATTTTCAGGCCACGTCTTACCTTGATCCAATGACATCAAAAAGGTGCTGCCAGCGATCATTAATTTTGTTGAGCTTGTCATCTATCTCAGCTGCTCTCGTCTTAATACTGGCCTTGATCAACTGGTCACCCATTTGCTTTAGCTGTAACTTGTTTTCACTAAACAAGTTTATTTCTTCCATGCAGTCCTGTCAAAGGCACCAAAACACAAGGCGTCAATTTCTACTGAAACTTCATTTCTTCACCTGCCACTCACACACAGTTGACTCTTGGAATTTGAAATAAAAATTAAAAACTTCTCACACCTGTCAACACAACTCTTCAGTGAGCAGCTAGGAAGTCAAACTCGCCCACCCAGCACATGTTTAATATGTAAGGTGGCAACATGGTAGTTACTTTCTCAATTTGAGAGCCGTGGTTTCCCCCCAAGATTTCTCTGAATCTAACTTACTTAGTCCCTGAGGATAACTGGGTATAATTAAATTAGCCTAATGCCGGCAAGACTTTCTATGGTTGACCTCTGTGGCATTCTGGGTGACTAGAAGCACTCTCTCTCTACCTTTCCTGGTGGGGATCAGTGACCATTTCAAAATCATCAGCTCCATTGCTGTGGGCCTCCTTCCTTTAGCAGGGGGAGCTCCTTAACAGTAACGACCACGAAAGCTGTAACTTGCTTGGGGTGTGAGCAGATGCTTTATGGAGATGTGAGCCCCTTCTCTGGCCAGACCTCCTGAGGGGAAGCAACTCCCCTTAGTACACAGCACCATGTCACGTGAGCAGTCCCACACTTCCCAGCTCTCTGGAATCCTCACTTACTAGCTTTTCTCTGAGAAGGAATAAAAATAGTTCAGAAAATCCCTTCAAATCTCAAAAACATATCTAAAACACTCCACCACTCTGAGCCCAAGAATGAGGAGGGTGAGAACTCCAAGGTGGTCAAACTGTAACCATGTGGGTACTCCCACTAACCTTCTGTAACTTTTCAATCATTTCTTCAATGCTGACATCTGCCGTCTGTAGGACTTTGTTTTCCATCTGCACCAGCCATGCACACAACTCTTTATTTTTCTCATTGAACACAATCCATGAATTGAGTCTGTCTTCAATCTCCTGCTTGTGTATGGCCACCTGGAAATGAAAATTTGGCACCTCAGTAAATCCAGGAAGGAAAGCATTTCCCTTCCCTCCCCCTACCGAAGGGACTACGGATTTCATTCATTTTTCTCAGTGGCTCTATAGACTCAAAACACTATGATACCTAGGGTTTAGTATCCACAAAAGTTTCTTATACCTTTGATGAAATGTCCCAAGAGCAACCAAATAAAGAGCATATCTGAAATGGAACTGACCAGAAGGACTCAGTCTTATCCAATGCCTACCTATTATTATCAGATTATAGTAAAAATTAGGACAGGAAAGGTTAGATGAATACAGTCAACATCACCCAAGTTTCTTATTTCAATTTACACTGACAGCTTGCTACATGCTAATTTCTAACTTTAAGACCCAAACCCTTTCCCTTTTTCAAAATGACCAAGCACTTAAGGCCAACATCTTGCCTATTTAATTAAAAACATTTAATCAAGATCACAAAATACATCTAACATTTGTAATGCGAATAAAGCATGAAAATTAAAGTTATTTAAATATTTTAGTGGTATTTCAAAAATAAAGCAGAATAAAATAAAAAAATACACATCACTCATGTAATCCACCTTCCACTGTGCACTCTGACTCTGGATAAAAACCACAGAAATGGAACAAAATACTAGTCTGTAGATGCAGGCTGACCCCCAGCTCCCCAAGGCTCCATTATGTATAAACACCCCTACCCTGACAGCAGCAAAGGGTCTGCCTCCCTACAGGGTTCAGCCTTTCCCAGGTATTTCAAAGTATTCCCAGATCTTAAAAATCCTTAGAATCCTAGAGTTAAAAGAGGTAGCTAAGAGTTCTTTGGGTAAAGTATTAACACCTCACTTTATGGCCTGGGAAACCAAGGTTATACTCCCAGAGATTTTCCAGCTGTGTATAGAACCTCTGCTCTTTAAAGTGAGGCTTGCATGTCTATCCAGCCAACTATTTTAAGAAGGCTCAAAGAACTATCCCTAAAAAAAAACCAAAGAACAAAAAAACCCTCACAAGTTTTATGTTTCTATTCCTCAGGGCATCTATTTATCTTAGCTTAAAGTCAGAACATTTTGCACATCATTCTGGTTGGCTCATAATGGTAACAATTAAGAACATCTGGGCCCCAGTCTTTGCTTCTACCTTAACTTTTAGGACTTTTCCCATATTCTAAATTTTTTCTTATATAAAATATGCATAAAAATTCTAGGAAGAGATTTAAAATTAGAGTGCATTGTGAATACTAAATACTAAAATCAAGAAGGCAAAATTTTTTCACTTGAGTAAAATGCACTTCAAAGTCTCTGAATTTCAACTTTTACATCTCTTAATTCACAAAAAATGAGACTAAGGAAATTATTTTTCTTGCGATTTTATGTTCTTACAACAAAGATCTATTTGAATCCTTTAATTCCATCTTGATCCTGTCACAAACACATACCTGAACCACCATCCAATGTTTAGTAAGTAGAAGTGATCTGCTGAGTATGGCAGTTGGTAATTCCTTTTGGAGAGTTTTAAAAATCAGCTACTTGAAAGAAACATCAGATTGCATGTGAATGCAGAAATCTCAGATAAAGTGCCCCGGTGCCAGGCACCTCAGTATGACTCCTGCTGTTTGTTGGGCCAGAGAAATATTATTGCAAAGGATACCGCTCCAAGGCCAGACCTCTTCGCTGAAGTGTTGATTCTAATTTACTGACTGCTACTTGTCATCTATACAGGACAGAGAGCCACATGCACACAGCTGCTCGTAACTGCAGTATTGTACCCCCGCTTAAGGTGAGTTTAAAAAAAGCTCATTAGAAGTGTGCAAAATTGCAGCACTGAGCGCCGGGAAACAAAGGCTCAAATCTGTTACACCATGTTGCTGCCTTCTAAAGGAACAGCGGCCCGGCCTGGGCTCTAATTGAAAAGGGCCTCCGGCTCAATCAAATTAAGCTCCTTTCTCCTCTGCCTGGCCTTCAGAGACATTCAATAAATTCCACAACAGCCGTGCCCTGCAGTTCACTTGACTTACCCTTAAGCAGAGGTCCTCCCATTGTCTGTGCAAATGCTCTATTTGCTCCTTCAAAACCATCACGTCCTCCACAAGAATGTGCTGGGTTAAGTCGGTCTTCATAGTGTGAAGTTCTTTAAAGTTCTGAGTCCAGGTGGCCAAAGACTTCTCTAGTTCCTGCATTTAAACACAAGAAGGAAAAAACCCTTCAACTCAAGCTGCTGTTGTTTTCAAACCTGTAGGCTAATCTTTTGATTGGACTTGGGGGAGGGGAGACCAGGGAAGGGGCGGGACCTTCTGAATGAGCAGCAGCCCAGGCCAGCAGCTCGGGCCACTTCCTCACCTCTTCCTCTCAAAAGAAAATTCTTCTACTTTAATTTTCATCTTCTCAGGTAATTCAGATTCATTAACCCTATCTTGAAGTCATATAGGTCTTTATCTTTATTTGAGGGGTATTTTTGGAATCTGGCAACAATCTCACACACCCCTACATACACACTTTTAATTCTGAAACTATGTTACAGAAATTTTGTATAAAGTGTGTTTTCCCATTAAAGAAAAATATAAAAGATGCACTGTTGCTACTGTGACAATCATGCAACAACAGCTTCTGTTTAAAGAGAATTATTTTGGCTAAGTTTCAAAAAGAATGAGTATAATGGAAGAAAAAATAAATTGTTCCCTAGTTAACTAATTGGGAGAAATAAGTTAACGGAGTATTTCCTCTGGCCACAGAAACCTTTATTTTAAAAAATGAAGTATTTGTCAAATTTTAACTTTCTGAATTTTTGGACTTAATAAAATTACTTTCACAACAAAGAGGTAAAAGGTAACAGGCAAAACACTCAACAGTCCTTTGGATTTTTATCATGCTCATAATTCTTCATGGCGTGTCCATTCGTACCGGAGCGTAAGTCTCGGGGGTAGGGGGCAACAAATGTGTTAATTTTGATTCACTTGCCAAGTTCTAAAAGCATTTAGAATGGCATGACTTCATGACTTGCTGACAAGAATTTAATGAAATGGCCTGGAGAATTATTTTTGAAGGCCCCGTGGAGATCAAGAAATATCTTCAGCTGAAGAGAAATCATTATCCTAAATTCTCGTTACCTAGTTTAGCCAAATGATTCTGGTAAAGTGGATGAGGGAAGGTCCTGCAGTGGCACACTTCTAATAGCTATGTAACACAAAGGGGGCACCTCGTAAGTGGGGGTGCACCACTCACTCACCACCTTGAAGCTGGAGGGACCCAGGGGGCTTCATGCAGCACCTCCCTGCCCCTGCAGCAGGCTCAGCCCGCCCACAGCCCTGCTCCAGGGGCTGGCTCAGAGGCCTGCACAGTAGGGAAGCATGATTAAATCATCCACAGCCAAGTTTAAATCTATTTGGATGCTTGGTTTCCTCAGGTGTTGTAGAACTTTTGAACACAGACATTTTTATGATTCTTAACAGATAGTGCCAAATTGTGTCCTCAAAGGAATGACTATATCTTTCTCCACACACATCTTGGTGTTGAGTTACATATATTATATATGAGTTTAGCCTGACATGCTACCTACTCCTTTACCCTGATGCTTCTGCAAATATATTTAGTTAATTCCTACTTACACATTCAGATCTCAGACACAAAGATAATTCCTCAGAAGAGCCTTCTCTGAGTTATCAGAAAACTGTAATGATCTTATAGCCCTCTTTGCTCTGCCTCTAACACTCACCATGCTTACAATTATACACACACACACACACACGCAAATTGTGGGACCCTTGTGTGTCTGCAGGAGTCTAGACTGCCAGCTCCATCCTGGCCCAACACATGGCCCGGCGCCTCTCATGATGCTGTTACAGCAAGTCCTCAGCTACAGAAACGTATGACTGAAAGGAGAGCAACTGGGCAGTGTCTCATGAGCTTTAATATCTTCATTAAAATTAAGTGAAAAAAAGCAAGGAATCAAACATTACAGCTGATGACCACTATTGGTAGAAACATTTTAAACATCATGTCTTTAAAATACTCCAGATTTTGCTACCAAAGTAATTATAAAGGAGAACAGTCAGAACTTCTCTTTCTTAATTTAACCAAACTGTCTACGTTGCAACATTCTATAAAATTTCAATGGTTCATATAACAACAAGACATAAACCTTAACGTTCACCACGTAAGTGGTGCGCTGCGTGGGCCTTGCTGGACTCTCGCATTGCACAGCAGCACTAAAACTTTTGCCCGCGGGCTCAGTGACCAGTGGGACTGTCAGGTTCCATTTCTCTACACTACCCTCTGGGTAAAAAGAGCACCAAAAAATCAATTACATACACAACACGCACATATATACATACATACACAGTAGATAAGTACTGACTTGCATATGATCTCTAGAAGAATATACAAGAAATTGTTAACACCGATTTCTTCTGTGGGGAGGAACTGATAGAGAAAAAATTTTCACGTCTACTTTTTGCACCCTTCTGAATTTGGAACCATGTGATGACATTACTTGTTAAAAACATTATTTTAAAAATAAAGTCCTGCCCCAAGGGCTCAGTTGTTTTATGAACACAAATGTCCACTATATCTATTTTCATTATAGTGAAAAGTTAGTGTTTAAAATATATAAAGAAGCTACACACACACACAAATATGTACAAATTATTCCACATGTCAATGTGGCTGTAATGGGAGTATAATTTTCTGAGGAGGAAAGTGAAGCTCGGATGGGTCAAGTGGTTAGAGTATTTCCCCGAAGTGATTCTGGGATGTTAAACACTGTTCTGCACAGGTTCAGGTTACTTGGGTTCTTGTGGAGTATGGCTGTGGGATCAGTGAACTCAATGCTCTTGATGGCTCTTCCCGATTCTTCCCACTGACAGAACACTGGGGCTGTGGATGTAGAAAGGAAACCACTGGGAACTGAGCATGATACTTGGGAAAAATTCTGCCTTGTGAGTTTACAGTTTCCATTCTGCACTTGCTTCTAGACTTTATGGAAGGAAATTCTGCCAAACGAGAAAGTGAATCCCAATCCTCTCACTTGTTACTGGTCTAGATCGCAATCTAAAAATGTAGAGGTGATTGAAACTTGTAAAATTAAGAATAGATAGGAACCTTCTTAACCTACTAGTAGTAACCAGTACCAGCAAATATCATGCTTAATGGTAAAACGTCAGAACCATTTTCTTTAAAATTGGGAATGACATGAAGGAGCCAACTATTAATGCTTCTAATCAGCATTGTTCTAGAGGTACCAACCATTGTAGAAAGAACAGGAGAAAAAGTTTAAAATTAAAAGAAACAAAAAATGTCATTTTTCACAGATGGTGATTGTCTACACAGACATCCAAGAGATGATATAGATACATTATTGGAATCAACAAGAGTTTAAGCAAGATGGCTGAATATCCTATCAATCAAATATGAGCTGTATTTACAGATACCAGTGATAAACAGAAAGTATAATTAGAAAAAGGCAGTATTTTCAATAGCTTCAAAAATAACATGCCAAGAAATAAATCTAACAGAAGTACAATACTACATAAAAAAAATTGTAAAATATTACTTAACATGACTAAATGGAGAAACATGCCATATTCAGGAATGGGAGTACTTGGTATCATAAAGATGTTAATTTTTCCCAAATTAATCTGTAAATTCGACACTATTCCATTAAAACTCTTATCAAGACTTTTCAACAAACGACTCTGAAAGACATTCATACTAATGTGAAAGAGCAAGGTTTGAGCACACCTCACACCTAAAATGAAGGTCTGCTTTAACCCAGCCCAGCACTCGAGATAGTTTGACATGACAGCTGATAGAACCAGACCAATGGAGTAGAGAGCCAAGAAACAAATCCACACACTCGGAAGCTTAGAGATGGGCACCAACACAAGATGGATCCATGCGAGCAAAACAAAAATTGGGTCTTTATCTCCTATATGCAAAAAGCAATTCTTCAAGAATAAAGATGTAAATGTGAAAAGCAAAATTTGAAAACTTTCAGATGGATGGAAATGTAGGAGTGTAATATGACTTTAGTATGGAATAATGGTACTTACTGCATATATACAATTTAAAAGTAATACTTTTGTACATCATTGAAAGCTACATATACATGTAGTAAAACTATAAAGAAATACAGAAGAATGATAACACACCAAACTCGGGTGTGGATCTTTCTGGAGAGAGTTATTCAGGGCATTTGAATTGTACTTGCAATGCTTTATTTTTTTCAGCTGGGTGATGGTTTCATGGCAGTTTATCATATGTTTGTTATGCTGGAAATTTTTTGCATGTTAGAAATTTTTACAATGAAGAAAACATGCATGGAGAAGGACACTCATTTCTGGCACTATTTCTTTCTAATTTTTTCAGTTTGATTCTTGAAGTGACTGAAGGAAGAAAAAAAATTTAAAAACTATTCCGTTAGGCTCTTAATGTCTATTAAACACCAAGCCTGCGTTTAAGGAAGAGGCACAGGAATTATACTGGTCCACTCCGATCCATAAGTTTGCCCCATCTTGCAAAGGGTAAAATACTATGGAATTTTTGCCAGTGTGTTTATCAACTAGGCAGAATATGCTTTGAAAGGTTTTATAATAAAAGGTTACATTTGAGTAAAAACTCCAACCCATCAGCTTCTAAAACATAAATTCTTTAGTCATACTTCATTCTCATTTCAAAGACAAGGTCATCTCATAAGGGAACAGCTTCTAATGAAGTCTCAGAGGCCACATCATGTATCATAGAGGGAAACAGACAGATGACCTGAAGGAGAAAATGCCCAAAATCCTAAGAAGAATTTCTACAAAAGTCTTTCTTTCTCATCTTCACACAATGGACCTAAAAAAAAAAATTCTAATTGCTTTAAAACCTGGGATGTTATTTTAGATAAAACATAGGAAAAATATTTTCCAACTGAACAGGAAAACTCGCTTTCAACACAGAAATAGAAAGGCAAACAAACATTCCAACTTCCCAGAGAACACTTAAGTGATTATCTTAAACACTACTTCAGCTTTCAATACCTTAATCAGTTCTTTCTCTTTATGGAGGTCCTCATGAAGTTCAGGAAGAGGATCTTTACTGTGTGCCTTTAAAACTTGCAGCTTGCTTCTCAACTCCTTCATTTTCTTTTCACACTGGTCCCAGGTCTATTTGAAAACAGTATTAAGGTTGGTTAAATACTTTGCTGTTTAAGAATGAATTACAGAAATTATAATACAAGCTGATCACAGGGACTGCTGAGCCACAGTGATATACATTTGAAACCAACATAAGATTATATATTAATGATACTCTAATTTTTAAAAAGGCAAAAAAAAATTGTAGAAACAGAATGACTCATTTAATCCATGTAATCACTGGACTAAATGTCTTTTGTCCGTCACACAGAAACCCAGGCATCTTGAGCCAAAGCTGGTCTAAAAGACCAGGACACCGGCATGGCTTGATGCCTCTGCAGCACTCTGTGTGGTCTGTGTCAACCACTGGGTTGGTTGGCTTTTGCTTCCAAACATTTCCTCTTTCTTCCCCATATCCCTCATCTTTCTGATCTTATTCCTATTTTAATTTTGGAAGGCTACTGTGAGGATTAGGTTTAGCATGTAGTCTTGGGTGTGCATACGTTAAGTCAGCACCATAAAGCAAAAGGACTCACCCACCTTTCCTGCCTTCTTCTCTGATGTCATCCCTCTGCACTCTCTTTCCCTTTTGAGAAATAGCTTGTTAGAGACCCTTTCACAGTCAAGCTTTACTCTCCGTTTCTCACCTGGGATGTTATTTTAGATAAAACATAGGAAAAATATGCTCTGACTGCTGCCTTCTGCTTCAAACACTTTGCAGTTTGCAAAGCATTTTCAGCTTCAGCATCTTGTTGTTTCCTGAGGCCAGTATAATTACGGACATGGCAAGTATTATCATCACATTTAAAATGTGGAAACTGAAGCTCAGAGAAAACTGGCCAGTGATAGTCGGTTAGAAGCAGCCTAGTCAACAGTCACCCAACGCTGCAGTTTCCCTGGCCAATGCCACTGTTTCACACCACCAAATGTCCTTTAACCTTTTACGTACTAGCAAATAGGTGCCAGTGTTTTCCAGTTCAGAGGGTTTCTAACTGATTCATTAGAGTAAGTTTCTACTCCTGAGGTTACCAAAGGTAATCATAAAGCAAACAGTGTTTTGTTCCTTGGTACAACTGATATCTGAATATACCTGGGTTGGCCCACCTCTTTAGCAACACCTCATGTAAAGGGAGGCCACTGTTAGCAGCACCAACTCACTGGAACGCAACCAAGAAGAAAGTGAAGAAGAAACAAATCTATGAGTCCTCATCTCTCCCGCAAAGCCATTAACAGAAAGCATTAGCCATCATGCTTCACAAATATGGCCAAGTGCTCAACAAACAGGTGCGAGTTAGTGAATGTCACAGGGTCCAAATGCCAAATAAAATTCAGACACTTTATTCACAGAGATGTTTAAGCCCTAACTGAGCATGTATTTATTCTTTACTTAGAAAAACATCTCTGTTAACATTGATCTGGTTTTGGTACTCACACAACTGATTAGAGAAAAGCATGGGGCTATAAGGAGTAGGTATGCTCAGAGAAACAAAAAGTAAAAACAGACAACAGTGTATGGAGAGAAATAATAAAAACCCACATAAGTACTCAAAATGCGTAACTGTGTAGGGCCATAATCCAAAGCAGCTCAGAATCCTTGAGAACACTTTCATACATTTTAGCATTACAAAACAATGATTTTCCTAATAATGACTCAAAATAAAACATTTCAGTTCTTAAAAATATAATTTTAAGTTATCTGGGAAATTCTTAACATCAGCTTATATGGGAAAGTACATTCTCTGATGGTAGCAGGGAGAGGAATTATCACTGTGTTTATTTTCATACACTACACCCAAGGACAGACCACATGTGGAACACGAGCTTGTACATTGGACTTCCTTGGAACATGAGTAATTCTTCTATTTCATAGAAGTAAATATAAAATAGAAGCTCAAGTATTTATATCCTTAATATTGAGCTTTTTCAGTGCTGTGTTATTACCTGACATTAAGTAACTGACACAATTCACAGATCAGGACTCAAAGGTTCTTTGGAAAATGTAATACTGTGATTTCCTAAAATCATTCCCATCTTAACACAGCAAACAAAAATTTTATGTACTGCATTTTAACATTATGAATGTAAATGGAAAGGCAAATGGTATGTTTACCTCTACAACATTCTGGAACTGTTTAACCATCTCTCCTACTTGGAGCTTTGTGTCCTTCCAGTCGTCCTGAAGTTGACTGATTCTCTTGCCAATTGACTCTTTAGTTTCCAGGTTAGTTGTGTTCAGTAACTTTTCCCCAGTTTCTAAGGTTAATGCGTAAGTGGTTTGCCATCTCTGAAAATGAGTTTCTTTACCCTAAAAAACAACAAAAAAAAGGTGACTTGCTTAAGCTTCTGATGTGATCAATATGTGACTGTGTGTATATCCTTCAGAGCTTTTCTTAAATGTTAAATTTGATATAAATTAGACAAATCGGGTTAGAATGTACACACAGGCACGTACCCCTCATTCACATCAAAGGCTAATGCTCTACAGGGAGTTGACACATACCACCAAAGGATGTGTTCTTAAAATAGTAAGAGTTGGTAGCAGACAAGATTCTTAGTGTAAAAGAATGAAAAATATACTTCACAGAATAAAAACCTACAAGATTAATAGATGTATAAGTATTAAGAAAATGATTGGAGTATTAGACCTGAAATTAAGAGCAAACACCCATCGCCATCCTGGTACAAGAGTGAGTTCACTCCTAACCCATAAAAGTAGAACATGTATCTTATGTTAAATATAAAAGGGGAGACTAAAAAAGGTAAAATAAAATACACTTCAGCTTATTATGGGCACATAAACATGTTTGGTTTTAGGAGAAAAATATTAAATCATTTTTTCTGTTCTAAATATGATTTCCTTCACTTTCACATTTCTCAAGGGAGACTTAATGTAGGCATTTTCCAAAATGGAAGCTGGTATTAAAAAACATCAAGAGCATTGACTTACATCGGTGTTTCTGAGACTACCTGATATAACCCAAATGCCAAGAGGAAAGCAGATTACTCTTAGGAGCAGACACCAGAGAAGTACCACCCAACGCATGTGCTGTCATTTCACTTGCCTTCCCAATATGCAGTACTGCCCCACAAAGCCACTGCGACAGACATCTATGAGCCATTCCAAACTTGTCAAAAGATCTGATCCTCTTCAGTCTTCCCTGACTTGGCCAACAGCACACCACTCGTTGGGATACTTAAGCCCAAACCCTAGAGTCATCTTGATTTAGATGTTTATTTACCTTCCACACTCACAGGTAGCAGGTCTTGTAAACTCTGCCTCCAGACATATTCTCTTTTTTTCTTTACTGGGATCACCCTTGTCTTACGTATCACAACTGTCCAACCCTATAGAAATGGCCTCCTCATTGGTTATGGCAGACTGCATTTTTCACAAATGGCCACAACATTCGTAGTCCCACATGCTCCTCCAGAACCTTGTTGTTCCCCTTCGAGTGGTGGTGGCACTATCCCCTCGTCTTGACCCTGTACGGGCCTGTGTGATGGCCTTGATTAGTAGAGGATGACATATGTGACCTCTGAGGCTAGGTCTAAAGACAATACAGCTTCTACCTTGATCTTTCTTGGGACATGCACCTTTGGAAGCCATGAGGTGCCATGGACAAAGTCCAGCTACCAGAAGCCTCTGCATGGGGAGACCACGGAGAACGGTGCCCCGGGAGTCCTGGCTCTTGTAGTTCCTAGCTGTCTGAGTCTTTCCAGCTTAAGAGCTAGACATGAAAGAGAGTGAGCCTTCAGATGAGGAAGGCCCTGGCCACCATGAGTGAAACTGCCAGACCCTAAGCAAAAGCCACCAACCGGGCCCTGTCAACCCCCAGAAATATGAGAGACCATCATCAGTGATTGTTGTTATGCAGCAATAGATAAGAATACGCTGGGATTCCTGCCTCTCCTTTGGGTCCCTATAATCCATCCTCCTCAGAGCAGCCAATGGATCTTTAAATAATACAAGTGGCATCATGATGTCCCCTCTCCCAGCTCAAAGTCTTCAAGGCTTCCTTCCCATTACACTGAGAATGTAACTCGCTACCATGTCTTGCCTGTAAGATGCTCCTCCCTGCCTCCCTTTCAAATTCACTCCCTCCCACCGCTGCCTCACTGGCTGTCCTCCAGTCGTGCCAGCCTTCATTCTGTCCTTTGCCTTGCGAAGCATGTTCCCATCTCAGGGACTCTGGGTAAGGCATTCCCACTGCCTGAAAGGCTCTTTCCCAGAGCTCTGCATGGCTGGTTCCATCCTACTGTTCAGCTTCCAGTTTAAACACTGTATTCCCAGAGATCACCCAGTCTAAAGTAGCCACTCAGCCCCTCCATTCCTGGCCCCGTTTTAATATATATGCCTTACTGCAATCTGACTATTTTGTTATTAATCTATTAATTTGTCTGCTTTTCTCCCAGACAAATTAATATTTTCTTATTAATTAATCTAATTGCTCCCAAAAAAAGGGCGGGGGCAGGGGAGGTCTTCTCTGTCCACACCATATGCCCAGCGCTTAGAACAGTGACTGGCACAGAGCAGATACTCAATTGATATTTGATGACTGGGATAAATGTATGAGGAAAGCACAGTATCTCAGAAGGGTGGTGTTTCATTGAGCTGTACTTCTACAGTGAAGAGTAGGTTATATGGAACATGTGCTGGGAACTGCCAGATAATTATCACACTCGCCCCATTCTACTTTGTCCACCCATCTTCACTTTGTCCCTACCTCCCATGGCACTCCCACTCTCACTATTTCTGGGTGAACGGATAAGGTTGGGTGGTTTCACCACAAGGCTAGGGACAAGGTTGGGTAGGCAGGGGTTCCCCCATTGCAGAGAACACACTGGAACCACATCATCATAAAAAACATAAAACCTGAGGTGAACGAACATCTTCCAAATAATGACCCCCTGTAGTTCTCACATTGCTCCTATGCTCACACTACCTTCAGCTCATGGATCAGACCTCTAGTTTGGTAGAGGCTGTAGCAATTCTGGCTCTTCACTGCAGATAGCAGGTGGCTGGTGTCAGCGAGGAAGCGGAGCAAGAGCTCCACAGAGGTGGTGAAGTACCGCCACTGCCTCACCAGCCCATCGACGTCACTCTTCCGCTGCCGAATGCTCTGGGCAGCATGCTGCCACCGGTCCTTCAGTTTCATGAACTTGGAAACAAACTCCGGTCTTGGGAAAAACAGATGGTTAGAGAATCCTGACAACATGTAGAAACATTAATTATCCATGCATAATAGAAACTCAGATTTGCTATTTACATGCACAATTTCATGGAAAAAGAAAACTTAAGATCTCTGTACCATTCAACTTAAATATGATGGAAAACTTGGGGCTGGAGCAGAGGAAGCATGAGGGTTGGCAAAAGGTGTTTAGCAGAAGATATTTGCAAATGACCTGGTATTCTGTCAACATGTGTGACAACCATTCCCTTAAAAAAACTGAAGCTCTTCTAACAAACATGATTGCAAATGCCCTGTGGAAAACTGAACACGGGATCAACAGGAAATGAACAGTAAGAACCTTAAAAGGTATTGATTCCTTGAGTGTTGCTTTACATAATTTCAGCAAATGCTATCTGCAAGTTCTCTTGCAGATAAATAACACCCTTCATGATAAATAGGGCCTTTATTTATTATGGGAAAAGTCATGCTTTTCTACTGATCAAAATCAAATCTATTTTATCATCCTGGGAGTTGTATGAATTTATTACTTCAGAGTTAGGAAGAAATGGGTTTTGTTTTTCTTAGTTATGCTGAAAGAAGATTCACAAGTATATGGGTGGTGATGGGGGGAAGCAATACCTTTCAGAATATTTAAAGTATTTAAGAGGTCAGGCCATGTCAAGGCTCTGCTCAGCCTGATTGGACTGTCCAGTGATCTGACACATGTACATGGCATAGAGAGATCTCTTCTTTTACAACTGTGACATAGCTACCCACTGGGAACAGCAGCTCTTTAAGAATTGTTTTTTAAAGAACAAAATGTCATGAGGCTGAAGGCAGAAGAGGAAGCACCCAGAAGAGTCTTTTGGGTGAAAACTTAGCATACTATACTTGGTGAGTGGATATTTACAAAAATGTCTGGTCTGCTAAGTTCACCCACCTATGATAGAGAAAAATGCCACTTATATTTTTATGGCCACATAGAAAGACCCCATCCAAATATAGTCAGCATACTGGACCCTTGGTTGTCTATCAGCTGACATGGCCACAGGGCACTGAGTGGTCAAGACTCACTCAGTAGAAGACCAGCCCCCCGTGTCACACATCACAACCAGGTAACCAGATGGCTTACCTGTTCTCTATTTCTGTCGTGTCCAGGAGTTGTAAGGACTGGGTAACATAAGAATCAGCAATTGTCTGGTTTATAGAAACTTCGGCTTCTAATGTCTGTATGATAGTTAAAATATAACATATCAGGAATCCCTTTTATACCTCTGGAATTTCTATTTCCTATTAAAACCTAAGCGAGGCTGTATGAGATGGTTAATTTTCAAATTATTTGAGCTTAACTACCAAAAAAGGCTCAATCACCACACCAACATCACCTCAGAAGAGAATCTCAGAAAGAAGAGGTCTAATAATAACTGCACCTAATCCCTGTTTACTAGATGTTTACTATTTGCTAGGCACCACTAAAAACACATGACTTATTTGTCAGCCTTTGGGCTTAATAACTATTATTAAATCCATTTAAAGATGAGCAATCTAATATATAATTTCAGCAATTTATTCTAGTAACTAAGTTTTTTTGACTGGATAGATTTCCTTTTCTTGGGATGATCATGTAACAATGCAGACTTGAATCAGTCACATTAAAAAGTTACAGTGAATTTAATCAGGCATATTTTGAAATGTAGGAGCTATCTATAACCACCAAGAGTACTTTCACATGCACACCAGTACAAGCGTGGTGAAACTCCTCTATGGAATTGTTAACGCTACAATTACAATACACCAGGTGCTTCAGTATTTGAGAGAATTACTCAACTCCTATTTGCATGTTCACTGAAGTATTTTAGCATTCTCTTGGTATATTTGCATTCTGTGAAATCAAGACTTGTCTGAGAAGCCTCTACCTACTGTAGAAAAATCCAGGAGTTCTGTCATTAATACAGCCATAAAACACATGTTGAAATTTATGAAATGTGTGAGAATTTTACAAATGATAAACTGACATACATTCTGTATTTAGGGGCTGACAGGTACTCTCTGTATTTTATTTGAATCTATCTTTCCCTGACTCCTGCCCCAAAGTGGCAGAGAGTATGAGTTTACCTCATATGTTTTCTGCTGTTCCAGGAGAGCAGGAAGGCTGTCAGCAATATCCATCTGGAGTGCTGCTTCTACCTTCTCCAAAAGCTGGACCCACTTTTCACAGCAATGAAGAAACTTTTCATTCAACCCAATTCCCTGAAGCTCCCTACAAAGGTTCAGAAACAAGGAACATTGCTGAGCTCAAGCAATTAATTTTATGTTAACTGAAACTGAATCGCAGACATGGGATGTTCTGACCTGCAACGTTCCAGAGCTGTCGCTGTGGCCCGAATCCACTGGCGGTTCATGTTTTGTAATGTCTTTACAGCTATGTCACTAAGTGGGAGCTTGAGGCTAACTTCATTCAAATGTTCAACATCGGGTGATCGGGCTGTCAGTGCCAGCACATGCTTCTATTAAAAAAAAAGTCAGATTTCAGAGTTTTGGATGCCAGTAAGGTATCAAGATGATGAAAAGGTATCAGAGATCCTGTACACCATTCTTATCTTAACGATGGGGCCTAAATAGGTAAAATGACTTGCCCACAGTCAGCTAGTTAGTATTAGATCTGGACCTCAATTCTGGTATCCCTATCCTGTGGCTTTTCTATAACAAACTAAACACATGGTTAACACCTAGCCAGACTAAGAAATAGAACGTGATCTCAAATTGTTTTTTTTTTTTTTGACGGACCCATTCTGGCCTTTCAAAGTTCCATTTAGTCTGCCAACAATTGATCTTCAGCAGATCTTGTGGTTTGCCTACAAATCAAATGAAAATTTAGCCCTTAAAATTACCTAGCAAAGCATGGCACTTAAACATCTATATTTCTGTGGAATGTGAAATTCCAAGCAAACTCATCGAAAGTTATTTTTAAAACAAAATCCTAGAGACAGCCTCTAGGTCAACAATATGTCAAGCAAACATCCTTCACAATGTCGACATTATCACTGCAGAACTTTGCTGTAATATTCTAGGTCAGGATCAGCAAACTTTTTCTGTAAAGGGCTAGGTCATAAATATTTTAACCTTTTATGGGTCAGATGATCTCTGTTCCAACTATTCCACTCTATCCTTGCAGTGTAAAAACTCCCACAGACAGTATGTAAATGGAAGGGCATGGCTCTGTGCCAGGAATGCCTTATCCACACAGGAGGTGTACTGGGTTTGGACAGGGTACCATAGTTTACTGTTGACCTAGGTTGTTAAAAGTTCTTGGAGTTTGCAGGATGTAGAATTCTTTAATTTTTCCATTAATTTATGTTAGCTATATACTAAGGCAATAAAAAAAGAACAAATATATACATTTAATAGGGGACTTTATTTTTGATTTTCAGCTAACCAGGAAAATTCAATTAATCACAACAGCCAATTCCTAGATTATTCTAGTTCACTGAAGCAAAGACATCAAAAATTTTTAAATCTACTAAGATTATGGTGGCATATTACTAAAATAAATGCCTATGTTGCCATACTTTTCTAGAGCTTAAGGAAAACAGGGCAAGAATAAATGGCATATAAATGACCATGTTCAAGAATTAGGATACAGATTATATCATGCAACCATCATCAGCTTATTTCTTTATGCTATGGTTGAGTCTAAGCTCTGTAGAAAGACAAATGCTGGCAATACCAGGAATGAGTCAGGATTTTCTTCTTTTCCCTGATGATAGAGTTTATCTGAATTCTCTTCTTCACACATAATGAGAGTTTTTAAAGATTCCAACTGGTCCCCAAAATCCTTGAACTGTGACAGAACAAACTAGAACAAGACAAATTTTCGTTAGAAATAATATTCATTTGCATGTGTAACAGAATTTAGCCTAGTCCTGGGAACTGACAGAAAGTTCAAGCTGTTTTCAACTCCAAGCAGATCATTACTATCTTGGCTATTCGGAGATGAATATTCCAGAACTGATTTTCACTCTGTGTCTTTGGCAAATCACTGAGCCCTCAGGGATGAATGGATCCCCTGCTTTAGTGGGGTATGCAGGGCCCGTTGAGTACTCCACTCCCTCAGTCCTGCTGATAATGAGATGTGCTATTGGGTCACAATGGCCTTCTAGCAGCTTTTTGGCAGCTCATTAACTAAAGGCTTTTCAAAAATTGAATGAAGAATACAACAAACCTCCACGCTTTATGCAGCTACTTCTAGGACTCAATTACCCCACTTAGAGATCTGAGTATCTGTGAGATTAGAACAGGGTAAGGAATATAGTACTTCACTTCTTAAACTAATATGTTCAATAGAGAAGAAATATTTGTGCAAGATCTGCCCTTTGCCCGTGTGAACGAAGAATCATGTCAAATGGTAGGCAAGTTTGGGACATTTTTTAGTCTGTAGTTTCCCTTAGGAGCAGTTCATAAAGCACTACTGACAATTCATAGGATATAAGCAATTGCAGGTAGTGTGCAAATGGCCAAGACCACAACTTGAATGGAAAAATGAGATGAACCTCAAATTCATTTGCTTTCCTAAGCAGCATCTTTTCCAAGTAAGAAGCCCTCTGGAGGGAGTGCACTTGACCAGAGAGGAGCAAGTGGGCGCCGGACTCTGCAGGTTGCGGGAGCCGATCCAAGAGAGGGGCATTTTGGAGAAAGGCTTCTTTAGTCCTCTGCACATCATGCTGCAGCTCCTGGAGAAGAAAAGTGATCATGAAACAGTTCCTCCTCCTTTCACAACACAAATTCCTGCCTCCTGCTGCTCCATCAACATCTAGGAGAACTTCTGCCCTGAAATTATGGGCATGGCTTTTGCTATTGTCTATTTTAAAGAGCTGTAAAAGTTAAGCTTTCTTTATATGATGCCTATCACTAGTGCTGTTCTGAAATTTACCAGTTTGGAGCTAGAACTGACAATTGACCAAGAGAGTTGGGGCTCCCGGTCTATAAAACTGGAGACCACCTGGGTTGAGTCCTTTGTATTTCCAATCAAACACTTTGGAGATATACCATTTAAAAAAAAAAGAATCAATGCAACTCTGTCTTCTGCCTGTGACTTCATAACCTAAGTGGATTCACTTGCAGAGTTGGTAGACTCTTCATTAACCAAGCTGATTTTACGGCAAATCTGTGTAAACACTGTGTGCATGAATTTTTTTTTTTTTGAACAGTGGATCAGGCAGATGTGCAAAAATACAGAAAACTATTCTGTAGTTTCCCCAAGGAGCCATTCACAAAGCACTACTGACTATTCATAGGGTATAAGGAATTGAAGATAGTGTGCAACTGGCCAAGACCATAACTTGAAAGGAAAAGATGAACCTCAAGTTCATTTGCTTTCCTAAGTAGCATCTTTTCCAAATAAGAAGCCCTCTGGAGGGAGTGCACTTGACCAGAGAGGAGCATCTGCTGCAATCCTTTCTCAGATTAAATTAGTTAATACTTTCTCATTTCACCTATGGTATCAGAGATATACAATGTATGTGGTCACCCTGTTTAAAACTAGAAAGTATTTGCTTTCTGGGAACTGATTAATAGGCTAATACCACAGAGGACATTCTACAACTCTTAATTATAGTCTAAAAATCATTATACCCACAGAAAAGCCATATTAACATGGTACAAGTCCATAATTATTTCTAAAGCAAGAGATTTGACATCTATTATTAGATGATCACACTCAATTGAGATGTTTTGCTTTTATATGAAACTCTGTAGGAGGCTTTTGCTTTAGAGATTTATCTGTAGGGTCAAAGGGGAGACTTGGAACAAGGTGGTGTCAGGTGCCCCACTGAGGTGACCTGGCCCTTCCAAGCCTACATCCCAGCCTTGCCTGTTCCCAACACTGCCTGCTCATGCACCTGTCCTGACCCACTTCTCTGGCCCTGTGGTCTGCCTAGTCCCCCGGTCATGGCTCTGCCTGTTGGGCTGCCTTGGCCTTGGTTTTCCCAAAGGGCTTTGCACCCACCTTCATATTCCATAGGGCTGGGGGCAGGCTTTCTGCCAGGTTGTTTCCAGACATGGCAGTGTTTGCGAGCTGCCCATACTTTGCTTCCTGCTGCTCCAGCCTTGTGGCAGCTTCAGCGTGAGCACTGTTACAGGTTTGCCAGAGCTGCCGCAGGCTCTGGGCCTTCTGCAACTGGTTTGCGATGTCTTGGTTTACTTGGGTCCACCTGTCAGGGAACAGGAACAACAGGACCCTCACTCCATCCTTCCCTTTGCAGCAAAAGCATAATGCACATCCTCTGACAGCAGGTTAACAGCCAATGGGTTGGTAAGGCGACACTGTTAAATGCCCTTTTGTTAACAGCATCACAATTATATAAACCAAAGTCAAAATTAGGATATTTGACTTTATAATTCTCAACCCATGATTGGCAAGAAGTATCTATTATATTAAGAATGTCTTTTAGACAAAGGTGGAGAAAGTACTGAACTATATGCCTGATGAAACTTTCTCCAGATGGGAAGGTGTTCTATTTTATGGGGGGTTGGGGATGTCTTTAAAAAGGCCTTATTTTAATTGTATGTATGTCCAGTTTGTTTTCTAATTACAAAAGCAACATATTCCTTTTTATATAAAAGCAGAAATAAAGAAAACTGCTTTTACTCCATGAACAGACTGTGGTATCTTGCCTTTCATTCTCATTTCACTTAAAAAAACACAAAAATTTTCCTCGTTATTAATAAAAAAATAAGCTTAATTTATAATGGCTATACATAATGGTCTGTCAGTGGTCCATTTTTTGTTTAATTACAAAATTCCAGTTTAGTATGGATATTGAAGTAATCTTCAATTTTTGCAAAAGGCTATTTTCCTGCATTTTAAGATACTGATTTTAAACTAAATTTCTGAGAGAATTACCAGGTCAAAGAATAAATGTACTTTTAAGGTGATAGGTATATGGGGTCATGTAATATTTACATTTTCACCTGAAGCACATGAGAATGCTTGTTTCACAATATCCTAACTGCTAAATGGGTGAAAAAAGTAAAAATGGCACAAATGCTTCACTTTTATGTATTTTAAAAATCTTATCAGAAAAATCCTTATTTTTATCAAGGTCTTTCCCAATTATAACATATACTCATAGTAAATAAAAACAAAACCCCCCAAAATTGTTTAAATCCATCTATTCCTATAATCTCTACTTAGATTATCTACCCACCTACCTCCCTATCCATAAAGAGAAGCTTAAAAAAAAGAAGTCACCTGACAGCTCATTAATCTAGAGGTAACTACTATTAGCATTTTGGTGCTACTTTATTTAGCCTTTTCCAACATGCCTTCTGATGTATTCTTGTGCCAACAACTGGATGTGTACAGTGGTGACAACTGGATCTCTTTAGTAGCAAAGTGCATCATCACATATGTTTTGAGGGTGGCCTCTGATATTCCACGTGGAGTCAGATATGGTCCTGTGTTCCTCCTTACCTTCTGCTCTCCCTCTCTTTCAATAGGACTGGATCATGAGCTGAGGACACCACAGCAGGTATACAAATTTGGTGTCCCTTATTCAACACTTGTTCAAAGTTGATATATATATAGGAGAGGCTGAGTCTGCATGAAGGAAGGGTGGAGGACCGGAGGGATTTGTCTGGATCAAATCAGCTTTAGGCTAACTTCAATATCCCACCAGCAAAATAAAAGCCTCATAATTGACTAGGGCCACACTCCTTAGAAGGAGCCTTCTACAATAAGAAGTTCATCAAATAATTCTTTCCAACCTCACAAACACCTCCCTGACAGGTATTCTAACATCCCCTTTCTTTCACTTCATGTTTCCATTGAAATGGACTACCCATCTGGCCACCCCTTAGTATGTTTCTGCCTGTGATTCTGGTGTTCTTGGGGATTGCACTGCGCATTTAGTCTACACCCTCTGCAAATGGTTACAGTGGCACCGTAATTAGGGCATAGCTGGATTTATCATATCAAATACTGCACAAAGCAAGCAATAGTCTTTATAGCATTGAATCTTACATGAACTAGATCCTTCACAGCACAAGAGACCAGAATGGCATGAAAGCAGTTATCTCAAATGATTAAGAAGACTTTACAAAGCCTATAACACTTCATTAGCCACAAGTCATTAAGATATCTGATCATTATTCAAATTATCAAATTAAATATTAAAGCATACCTTGTATGGGTATCCTGGCATTTCTCTTCGATTATTTCAGCAACTGAGGGGCAGTAATCTTTGAGTTTTCTAATAACCTCCTGGAGTTTCTCCCAACTACCTTCACTTCTCTCAGCTTCGTCCTGAAGAGACTAAGAGAACACAGCAGGAAGGCTGGTTTCAGAGAGGCCTGGCCACTTCCAAAGAAGGCAGCCATTTCTCAACACTTGCTGCTGTGTCACAATATCATTAATACTCAAACCTTAATGGGAGGAGGATACATTATTAGAAACATGAAGAAGACAACTGAGAAGACAGTCTTTTCTTTGAGGCTAGAATTTGAACACATGTACTAAAAAACCTCACCCCAGACCAAACTGAAATTAAATGGACATGAAAATCAAGAAAAATTCAGTGTATATTTTTACAAAGTTTCACTCCTTTGGCTCGTGTAATTCACTTTGTAATTTCAAGTTATAGTTTAAATGCTGCTATTTAAAACACTGTTTTGTGCTTCTCTGTGAAGACCACCAAAAGCAACTGTGCCCGGTTTTGCTTGCTGCCCTTAGAGGTTTTGATGCACTGTGCCAAGGTCTGGTTAACTTACCTGAAGATTCTTCACCTGGCACTTTAAGGCCGCTAATGATAAAAGCACAGGCTTGCTGTGTTCCACGCAGTACAAGAATCGGGTTGTCATCATGCTCACTTCATCATAGAGTTTATCATAAACCTTCCACTCCCGTAACATGGACTGCATGGAGGTCTTGAGCTCATTGACCTACACAAGAAGTGGAACACAGTTTACAAAAACCACTGGGAAGAGGCTCTCTCATTTATTGTTCCAAAGATATCACCATTGTATCTGATTCAGGCATTTCCACTTGAGAGTACTGGAGGAGCTCCAGTGATTACCTGAAGGTGGGAAGGGTAGGTCAATGTCCAAAAATGTCAGAGAAGGCTAAGTTACAGAATAAGTGAGTGGAAAAGAGCCCTGACGCCAGAAGGAACATCATGGAGAGTTCACCCCATGGCCAAACGCTGGGTGAGGAATCTGAATCTGTAAGCGGACATTTCAGTGACACCCCATTAGCGTTCTGACCTTGGGTAACTTGTTTAACCCTTGAGCCTATTTCCTCATCCACAAACGGATATAATAAATGGAAACATAAATAATATAGCATCTGTAATAATGCTCTGAAAATGCAAGGCATTATAAATGTAAAGTGTTACCCGTGTCACCTGGCCCTGAGTCTCACTACGACTGGAAAGCCAGCATAAACCGGAGAGCAATGTGCGTGGCCAAAATGATGGGCAGTTGCGAAGTAGGAGGAAATACAATGGAGGGCATTGTTTTACACCTTAGACTGTGTTTTGAAATCATGAAAGGATAGAAGTTGAAATATTTGAATGATCTCTGACACAATGAACAATACATATTTTTGTATACTTTATATATATATATATATTTTTAAAAATATATATTTATATATAATTACATATACTTTACCTATTATATAAAGAACACTTACAACTGGACAACAGAAACACAAATAATGCAACTAAAAAATGAGTGAAGGATTGAACACACACCTCACAGCAAGATGTGCAAAAGGTCAATCAGCACATGTAACATCCAGTCATTAGGGAGTCAAATCAAAGTCACAATGAGATACCACTGACTTCACATCCACTATCCTGGCTATTACCGAACTCCACTAACAGCTAGTGGCGGTCAGTGCAGAGAAATCGGACCCTCGTACACTGCATGGTGTCACCTCTGTAGAAAACAGTTAGACAGTTTCTCACAAAGTAGAGTTACTATATGACCCACAAATACTACTCTTAGGCATAAACCCAAGAGAACTGAAAGCATTATATTCACACAAAAACCTGTACATAAATGTTCATAGTAACATGATTCCTAATAGCCTAAGAGTGTAAACAACCCAAAGTCCATCAGTGGATAAACTAAGTGTGGTATACCCATACACAGAACAGTAGTTATCCATGAAAAGAAATGCTGATATATGCTCTTATATTGATGACCTTGAAAACATGCTAGGTGAAAGCAGACATAAAGACTAAATATTGTATATGAAATGCCCAGAACAGACAAATCCAGAGATAGAAAGCTGACCAGCGGTTTCCAGGAACTAAGGGAAGGGAGGAATGGGGAGTGACTGCTAATGGGGAGGAGGTTTCTTTTTGAGGTGATGAGAAGGTTCTCTAATCATACAGTAGAGATGGTTGTGTATCTCTGTGAATACACTAAAACCCACTGAACTGTACACTCAAAAGGGTGAGTTTTATGGTATGTGAATTACATCTGTTTAAAATAAGATCTGAATAGAGACAGAGTGTGATCACTGTCAGCCTGACTGGACGTTTATTTGTATGTGATGCCCGGTTTTGGATGTGGCCTCACGGGCCTGCATCAGGCGCTCTATTCTCTGCCTGATGACTGCAGGGCGCACTGCACATCCACAGGGCCAGGAAGGCTTCCTCAAACCCTGCCCCACACAGGGACAGATGAAATACCTGGGATGCCAAGATGGTAAGTCTCACACTGGCAATTATGTGGGCCAATGTCTTTATAAGGGTTGCATGGCTCAGAAAAAGAACCAATCATTATTAAAGAAGAGAAGATGGGAGGGAAAAAAGGGAGGCAGGAAGGGAACTACTCATAAATAGCTCGCAGAAGCTGGGACCCCCCTGGGTGATAGGATTGATTCTGATACAAGAGTGCCTATAGGCATATGGTTACACAAGGCCCTGCCGTGGTTCAGGCTCCGAAAGGCCTTCACGGCTTCTATGTGTAAAGCTGATGCAACTTCTGGTGCTCCTAACTATCTATAACCCCTTGGAATATTATAGTTTCCTGGAGAGAAATGGTATCTCTGAGAGAGAGGATAGGAAACCATTAAGCATACCACACTACACCCCAAACGAGGGGGAGGATCACTTTCAAAATGGTATCAACCAGTAGTGCAGAATTCACTGAGTGTTGCATAGGTACTGCTACAAAGGTAGAGAGAAGTTTGTAGGTTTATCATCCCTATTTTATAGAGCAGGCAATTGAAGCTTTAAGACATTAAGTACCTGCCCTAGGACACAGATGGAAAATGGTGCTGCCAGGATCGTTGTTTAAGCAGAGACTCAAAGCCTTTGCTCTTAAACCCTAGGCTATATTGACTCTGGAGATCTTATGGGCGGATGACCTAGGTCTCTTGTCCTCTGCATTTCAATAAAATCAGTGTTATTGAGATATAATTCATATTCCATACAATTCACCTACTTAGTGCATATAAACACTATAATCAGTTTAGAATGTTTTCATCACCCATATCCATTAACAGTCCTCATTCTCTCCTCAGCCATTAATCTACTTTTTTTGGTCACTAGAGATTTGCTTATTCTGGACATTTCACATAAATGAATCAGGCAATATGTGGTCTTTGTGACTGGCTTCTTTCACTTACCAGTTTTCAAGGCCATCACTGCTGTAGGAGGTAGCAGTACTTCGTTCCTTTTTCAAGGCCAAATACTATTCCATTACATAGCTATATCCTCTTCATTTACATAACTTGATGGGCATTGGGATTGTTTCTACCTTTTGGCTATTATGAATCATCCTGCTATTAACATTCATGTACAAGTTTTGGTGTGGACATGTTTCATTTCTCTTGGGTAGATAGCTAGGAGTAGAATTGTTGAGTTCATGTTTAAAAATTTGAGGACCAGCCATACTGTCACATATACAAATATATGTAGACATATTCATAGCTGTTTTTCAAAATAGCTGGGCCATTTTACATTCTCCAGCGGAGTATGAAGTTTTCAATGTCTCCATATCCTTGTCTTTTTATTATAGCCATCAGAATGGGTGTGAAATAGTGTTCATTGTGGTTTTGATTTGTGTTTCCTTGATGATTAATGACATTGAGCATCTTTTCATGTATTTATAGGGCATTTGTATATATTCTTTAGAGGAATTTCTATTCAGATCATTTGCCCATCTTTTCCCTCTGGTTATTTGTCCTTTTATTACTGAGTTGTAATTCATTTTTTTTATATATTCTAGATACAGTCCCTTAAGGAAGAAATATTTTCTTCTATTCTGTGGTTTGTCATTTCACTTTTTTGATGGTGTCCTTTGAAACAAAAAGTATTCAATTTTGGTGAAGTCAAATTTATTTTTTCTTTGCTTGCTTGTGCTTTTGGTGTCATATCTAGGAATCCACTGTCTAATCCAAAGTTGTGAAGATTTTCACTTACATTTTCTTTTAAGAGTTTTATAGTTTTAGCTCTTACATTTGTACCTCTTCGAATCATTTTGAATTAATTTTTGTATATTGTGTGAATGTAGAGGTCTAGCTTCATTCTTTTCAATGTGGATTTCCAGTTTTCTAGTACCATTTTTTTGAAAAGACTCTTTTTTTCACCCCACTGAATTGTTTTGGCATCCTTGTGGAAAATCAATTGACCATAAATGTGAGGGTTTATGTCTGGACTCTCAATTCTATTCCGTTTATCTATGTCTGTCTCTATGCTAGTGTACCTTCATGTTTTTATTTCAATCTTTTTTCACTTCTACATTTCTATTGTACTGTAATTCACTGTGTTGCAATTATCTGTTCATGTGTGTTTCCTCTAGTAGCCTGTGAGCTCTTTTGTAGGACCCATTTATTTTCTTGTTTATTTCTGCATCCTTGGCATTGAACATAGTACCTCACAGAAGATATGTTTAACAAATGACTCACACAAGATAAGTTAATCTCATGCCTATTCTCCTGCCTGAGATCTCAGGGAGGAATAAGGCTGAGGGTTGTTGATGGATTTCATTCATACAGGTTATTCCCAATTCCTTCTTGGAAAAATGGTTATAAATAGATTTTAGTAGATGACAAATATACAGTAAGGACTATGTGGGAAACATGGGCATACCTATAAGTGATTAGTATTTATAGTTTTCTCCCTCTATTTGTGGGGAAATGTCAAGATTGCACATAAGGAGTTGCCTGTCTTTTTTTTTCCCTTTGTTGCTCTCCTCCTGGAAGGGTAAATGAGGCTCTGACATGTCTTTCATAAAATTACCAAATGTTTTCCATGCCCTTCCTCTAGACTTTCTCTTCACCTCTGCAATTCCTTCTATGCTGACCATGCTTCTAGCTTAATGAAGGCTACGAGGCAGGATCATTCCCTCCCTGAGGCATCTCTTTGTATACATGGGGAATCTGAGCTGCTTCTTCACAGCTGCTCCTGTGTATCTGGCCAGGAAACAATGCCAGATGCTCTGCTTGGTGGGGGGGTGAGATGACATTAGACAAAACAAAGATAACTGAGTGATTTCAGCCCACCAATGATATCTGAATTGGAGGCTTTGCATCTAGTTATACATTGACCCTCCCCCCCCCCAAAAAAAGCAGGGGGAGAGCAGTTTTAAATGTTTTTCTCTACTTCACTTCAGTATTTCTCTCAGTAAGTTTTTAGTTTTTGGCATAGAGTTAGTCTCCATGATTAAACAACAACCAGTAAGATAAAAGAAGGATATGTGAAAAGGAACAGGACCCTTCAAATGAATTCTAGTACCTGGTGGATTACACTGCTTCTCTTTTGAAATAACCCATCAATCCTGGATGCTGTATCTTTTAACAATGGCATCGTCCCACTCTCTGAAGTTAGATAACTTTGTCTCAACTCATCCAGTGCTTTGGATTTAATTGCAAGTTGATTTTCTATATCCTAGGAGGTAAGAGAAAAGGTTTTCATATGCACATTACAAAACAATTAGGTGTAAGATACAGGATTCTCTCTTTTCAAGTAAAAATGCCATCAGAGTATACAACTAGGTAACATTACACCAAAAACATTTAACCGTAATATACTCAAATTTTTACAATGATTAATTACACTATGAATTTACATTATTATAATATACATGTTGACAATAATTTCAATTACTACATAACTCTAAATTTTAGAAGAGTCTAGGTAACAAATCCTTATCATCAGTCATGGCATAAAGAGTTGAGATCTAGTCCTCATTCCACATCTGCCCTGTACTGGCTGTGGGACCAGGCATTAAGTCATCGAACTTCCAAGCCTGTAATTTCTCATTTGGAAGATAGCAATGGCATCCATGCTGTGCAGAGCTGAGTACTCTAGTGAACCCAGGATGGCCTGCTGGGGGATAAGCACAGAGCTATGGGCTGTAGGCTTCTAGACAGAAGTCTGTTGAATCTGAGGTGGCTATAAGAATTTCAAAGTTGAAATGGCTAACGGGTGATTAGAAACAGGATGTGACCATTTGAAAATATCTCTATGGTGGTATTGCTATTCACATACTCTGTCCAGGATTATTTAGCAACCTTCCAAGCAGAACTGGGGTCTGACCTGACTGTCCCGGCAGTGAGCTGAGCCATTACTGTACTAGGTGTGGGAGCAGCATGAGCTGCAGTGTCTGCAGCAGGGACAACTGAAGTGTTCTCAGTAGGGAGTGACACTGTCAGGACAGCACTTAACGGTTAATGTACATTTGGGAGAGGGCATCTCAAAGACTAAGTGACCTGGCATATGACATCAGAACAAAATGAGGGCACGGCCAACACCCTCAAGCCCAAAGATTTAGACAGTGGCCCCAAGACACAAGCAGTCCTTTAGAACACATGACACAGTAAGTAAAAGAACATTGTTTTTCTCTGAAGAAACAAAATGGAATATGAAAAATAATGGAAACTTCAGAGTAATTTTGTGAGTATTGGGTAAATTATAAAAAACACAAAATCTGGTAAATGTCTTAATCAAAATTCCCTTTGAACATTTTTTTTCCTCACATTTACATCTCTTACGAACAGTAACTATCATGAAAATACCTCCTTCTATCATAAAAAACAGTATTTTTTAATTTTGTGAAACCCATGGAAAATTATCTACTGTACATAAGAAAGGCCATGGGGGTCTGCAGAAGAACCCCCAGAAACTCCAGCAGCTTGGCCTTCTCCTTGGAGCCACGGCTGAGGAGCCCGGCCACACCGAGCGGCACAGGCACCGGGGGCCTTCTCACCTGGCAGGCCAGGAGCATCTTCTGCACTGAGATCACACTTTCGGGTTTTTGTAACGTTTTCAGCCTCTCCTCTTGTGCCTCCATCCAGTTGTTCAAAATCTGTACTCTGTTTTCATTTTCAGTGATACTTTCCAAAAATTGTTCTAAATGTTGTATCTACAAGTTATGATAAATAAAAACTTTAAAACCACAAGCTTTAAAATGTAAATGTCATGTTATTTTTAAAAGAATAATTTGGTGTCTTCTCGGAGTTCTAATATTTCTGCATAGAATTTCCCAATAACTTTTGGAATAAAGATTCATGAACAGAATTAAATAGAATAAAGGAAATAGAATTAAAGTACCCTTTTAAAAGAAAATTTAACATTTGAAATGAAAGCTAAGCACCTAAGAAAGCTGGCTGTTTTAGTTCCATAATGTGTACACAAAATAACATCATGTTGCTGACATTTGATTTTTTTTCACTGTATCATCTACTGATATATATAAAGGTTAAGATTTTCCTTCCCCAGATTCTTGAGTCACTTAAAAATATCAAAAGTAACTCATCAATTTAATAATTACTGTTTCTAATGTGATTCTTCTTGTTACTAATGCTCACAATTTGTATTAGGTTACATTCATAATACATGTGAGGTTTTGTATTCCTTCTCCAATATGTCATAGGGACTTGCTGTGTCATGACCTATCATGTCCTATATCAGTTTCAAAGGCTATCCAATATTTCATCAAATGGACACAGTATAATTTGACTTATTCCCCTGTAGTTGGAAATTAAGGCATTCTACATTTTTCACTGCAATTCATAATAATACGGACTTAAACACTTTGTGCACATATATTTTTCTTTTTATAGGATGGGCTATGTTTTTTTTAAATTAAGGTATCATTTATATACAATCTTATGAAGATTTCACATAAGCAACATTATGGTTTCAACATTCACCCTTATTATCAAGTCCCCCCACCAACCCCATTATAGTCACTGTCTATCAGTGCAGAGTCACTACTTATCTTCTCCACACTATACTGCTTTCCCCGTGACCTACCTATATTGTGATTGCTAATCATAATGCCCCTTAATCCCCTTTTCCCTCCCTCCCCACCAACCCTCCTCACCCCCTTCCCTTTGCAAACTGCTAGTCCCTTCTTGGAGTCTGTGAGTCTGCTGCTGTTTTGTTTCTTCAGTTTTGCTTTGTTGTTATACTAGGAAGGACTATTTTTTTAAAATAAATGTGTCAGAGGTAGACTTCTGGTTGAAAGACAGGATGATTGTTATGGCTCTAGAAATTTCCCAAATGCTTTCCATAAGGTTATGTAAGCTATTATCTGCAATGTGTCAATGTGACAGCTTTGGGCTTTTATCTTTACCTTACTAAAATTTTCTAATTTAATAAGTGTATAATGTTATATTCACATTTATTTTGAAAGTCTCATAATTGAAATTGTAATCTTTCCATGTTTAATTGCTAATTACAATTTTAGTTTGTGAATTGTCCATGCTTTGTCCATTCATGATTTGAAATTTAATTGTATAAATCCATTTGTATGCATGCTCTATGCAATAAAGAAATCAACCAACTGTCACTATCAATTATATATAAATATTAAGTATTTTTCCAAGAATATGTTTTCTTAATCTGTTCAGTCATGAAATGAAAATCAACAAGGCATATATATATTTTTTCCTTTTCATCTTTCCAAACTGAAATAGTTTTGCTGCTTTTTCAACATCTACTTTCATAGAAAATGTCAAAATCACTGACCATTAAGCAGCCTCACATAATATGTGATATCTTCTTTAATAAAATTTTTCCTCTTCACTTGCCTAACTCAATTTTCCACCAAGAAATCTCAAAGAAATATAAGAACTATTTTTATGCTCTCATATGCACTATTGGAAAAGGTGGAAACACAGGATTTATAAATTGAGATTATTAGGCTTAGTTGTAAATTAACTGTATCTTTAAATTTTTCAGGAAGCGGTATTTTGCAAAGGCCAACTCATACATTAAACTGTGACACATGAGCACACCTTTCTATTTAGCGCTCCATGGACCCGGTGCCACTGGCGATTCATCTCTCCCAGGTGCTCTGCAAACTCTGTTCTCTCATAGCGCTTACTTTCTACATCACAGGTGCTTAACTGAAGTAATGACTGGTTAACAAAGTCAACTATCCATTGTTTATAGTCCATTTCCATTCTGAACTCCTGAAACAAAAAACAAGCTTGAACCAAAGCCTGAATTGAAGTAGTTTAGATGAACTGATTTTCCCTTTGGTACACCCAAGAGGGCACCAAGTTCCTATCCATTAATCAAGGGGCACCTGTCTTGAGTTATGTTCTACCAGATGTATGCTTTGAGTGGAGAGTCTTTAGGGAATTTCACATTCCTGGGAACACAGAGACTACTTTCAAGGAGACTGAAAAGTCAAAGGCAGTACCATGTATGGTAGCTACATCATCTGACTAAAATCAAGACCCAGGGACTGGTAAAAGGTTCCTACAGGTGGCTTCCTGAAATTCAGAGCCAGTCATGGGCTCATAGAAATGAGAGGATGGGAAAAGTCTGAAGTTAGAGACATTCCCAGAAAACCCAGGGACACCTTTAAGGACGTTGGTCAGTTCAGGCACTTTCTCTGTTCCCCTGGGGACAGTATAGGCCCCAGTTTGGGTGACTAAGTTCTACAGCAATCCTAAACCCACCCAGGAACAAGCACGTTTCTGTCTACCCTGAAACTTGATAGGTTTATCCTGGCAGGTTCTAGTACCTCCTTCGGTCATCCTTTGGAGCACAAACCTAGGTTGCTGGAGCCTCTGACAATACATACATGCGGACCCTCTAAATATCTACTACTCACTGAAGTTAGGATATAACCGCATATAAAAGTAAAATCCTTCTAACATCATGCTTTGTGACTGAGCCATTCAACTGCCTTCCAGAAGCTAAATTCATCAGCCTGTGAGGTCTTTGAAAGCAATGACTGGGGTATTCATCTTTGTATTAGTGGTGAACACACTGCCTGGCATACAATAGATGATTGCATGTGGCTTTTTAAGCATTAGCTAAGTCTACTTGAAGTCAAATACCACAGAGAAGGCTACCTACATAACTATTTGTAAAAAGGGTATCAAATTCTCCTTATACACCCTCTACTCAAAGAACATTTAACTAACACCTACTAGACGCCAGGTATTGGGCTGGTTGTGGTATTTCAGTAAGGTGAAGGATAGTCAATGCTCTTAAGAAGCTAAGTCAAGGTGGAGACATAGGCAAGTAAGCAGATAATTCTAATACCACATGATAGAGCTCCTGATAGCGCCATGGGGGACTTAATCCCAGAAAGTCAACTGCTCCGGGTAGGAGAGTTGGGTGTATTTCCAAATGAGGGGATACTTGAGCTGATTCTTAAAGGATGACTATTAGCATTTCTACAGTTAAAGGCAGGGCACTGAATTCCATGCCAAAGGTACAAAAATGTGAGCAGGAAGAGCTCTAGAGGCAGTTGAGGGGCTGTAAATCATCTGGTTCAGGCAACGATGGTGGGGGATGGGGGAGGTGAGGGGATGGAGAGAGAACGAGGGGCCAGAGCCAGTTAAAAGCGTAGACTCTGTTCTGTGAGTAAGGGAGCTACTGAAGGAATCTAGACCAAATAAGAGCAATTACACTAACTTATTTCTCTGAAATTGTCCACCACCCCATTCTTCACCCCTAGAATTAGTTTTTCTAAATTATATCTTACATGTCTCCTTGGTCAGTATTTTCCCTCTAACTGATTTGCCTTCTTATTTAATGAAAAGGCTTCTGGCTCTTTTTGTATAATTACCTTGTACTTCTGAAGAAGATTTTTAACTTGAGATGCGGAACTCAATGAATGCTCAAAGTCTTCCTCTGCAGTCTGATGTTCCACATTGTTCATCCAGCTAATCATTTCTGTGATTGCTTTATGAGATGACAATTTCTCCATCTGAAGCTGCAAGGACAAAATGATTTCCATTTAATTACCTACAGTTAACAAAATGAATCAGGGCATCACTAAAGATGATATCTGGTTTGATAAAAGGTCTTGGTACATAATTACGCAGGTTACTCACAAAAACAAACCCAGCATTCAAGCTTAGAATAAGTGACCCCAAAACAATGACAATGACCTTCACATAAAGTAACACAGCGGTGCAGATAAACTGGGAAATAAAGTAATTAAGCCTGATTTCTCTCTTAAGAAAGATCCCATTGGAGGAGAGTCCAGTAATTAAGACCTATATTCAGTGGTGCCAAAGAAAAATAGGTAGTGTCAATGAAAATTATGGAGTCAGACAAATGATTTGTGAGCTAACAAGTGAATGCTAATTCAAATCTGGGTCTTTGAATACATACCTGGTGAAGTTTTTCTTGAATATCTGGAAGTTGTGTTACGAGCATTGTCCATTTTTGTTCAAACTGTGCTAAAGAAGCTCTCAGGGTAGCTGTATCCGCCTCCTTCAGGTGAAGAAGCTGGTTCCCAGTACTTAGAACTGCAGTCTTCAAGGAGGATTTCTCATCAAGCTCCTTTGAAAACTCCTAAAGGAAACAGTTTTAAAATGTAGAACCTTTTAGTTACTTTGTGCCATATTTAAAAGTCAGAATAACTGGTTAGAGTCCAAAACAAGTAACTGAATTTAATTCAAATAGTATTTGTATGTGTATGTATATGGGTGTTTGCTGTGTATGTGCACAGGTGCTCCAGTGCGCACACATGGTTTTCTTAAGTGTCAGGCACTGTTCTAGGCTCTAGATACATGGTGGAGAAACAAGAGAAATGGAACTCTTGACCCTTGAGTGGCTTATAATCTGGTGGATTAACATTTTAAAAAATGGACAAATCATTTTAACTTTAAAAAGAAATTATGGCACATAATACAAAGTTGATATCAAAAGAACTGAGTGCAACAAATTTTTAACAAGTATTTGAAATATTTCCTGTGTACTTAGAGGTTTTATGTACATTTTAAAGTATTTACATTTTAATACCAAAGTGAGAAATCATAGCTACAAAATATGAAAAACAGGAAAAAGGCTCAAAGACTTCAAGGTTTCAGAAGTGTAGTTTGTATGAGGAAAATAATTTGTTTCTGTAAAAAAAAAAATCTCAGAACAGTTACATTTTAGTAGAAATATCAATTCTGTATACAATTTAAAACCATATACTTACTAACTTTAACATTTATGAGTTAACAATTCTGAGGTTTCTGGGAAGCAAAAGAGTTATTTTCTGTACTTGTAAGGTATGTCCCATGTCAGAGCAAGTTACAATTTTATATATATTTTACAGGGTCAATTCAATTAAAAATATACTTTGTCATTACTATAAATGTATAAATGACAACTATAAACAAACGGTTCTAAGAATGCAGCTATTAGCCCAAGTCTTAGCCCTTATCCACAAATGATTGAAACTATCACATCAACCCTGATAATTTTTCCTTGATAATTACTTCTGTCCAATGATCATCTGAGCATATTTTATCACAACTTACAAAGAAGTTATTTATGTTGCTCCTGATCGTATCCAAGTCTTGAGACACATTGAGAGACTGTTCTTTCCAATAATTCAGAGTTTGCTGAGAAGATTCCAACCACTTCGTTAACTGATCTGAATCTCTGTTATAACTAAGAGGAGCAAAGTGAGAAAGGAATTTATTTCACTGTGTTTTTCTGTGGTAGCCCTATTATTCAGAAAACCATAATGTTTTTAAGGATTATACCATTTCATCCCATTCCCCTAATCTGATGTTCCTGGCATTTTGTATGACTGTGTTACAACTTATCAAGAACACAGAAGCATTTTAAGGTTTAACACTTTAAAAACTTATCATAGCTCCACAAAAGTAAGCTCATGCATAAGGACAGAGACTATTTTTATTCATCAAATGTCCTCTATAGACTCACTTATAATAAAAACATAAACCAGCATTTGTGCAACAGCAAATTGCTGTTGTCTAGATGCCAATATATTCTTCTGATGTGATGAAAATATCCAAACAAACTGCTCTCCCTCTTCTAACTTTTAACCTTCTTTAGGTCAAGACAGCCCCTAAGAGGTGGGGACAACAATGAGGTTTAAGCATTCTATATCTCTACTCTCTTCAAGGGGTTCAAGGTTAGATTAGGAAAAAAAAAAAAAATTCTCTGAAGAACTCCAAAGACTTCTTCAAACTATTTTTTAGCTACAATTATTTCCTTTTTAACATTTTACAACTTTTGGAAGAGGGTAGGGAAGAGCAACATCATGGTATAAAGGTAACGTGTATAATTTTATAACATATTCCTAAAGTCTACACATCTATGTAATCTGATTACACAGTATTCGAATCCATCAAACCAACACCAGAGACTCCAGATCCCATTTAGCCCAGAAGAGGGATCCAACTGCTTTAGATGGTCGAAGAAAACCCCCACAATAGGGGGACCACTTGTAAAACCTGGCTGGCTGAGAATCCCTCTGAGGTTTTTCTCTGCAGCGAAGTCTGACACCAATCAATCCCTCAGGAAACATACCTGAGCAGATGCTTGAGAAGTGTTTGTAGTCTGTGTAGTTCATGATCAGTTTTTTTGTTTAGGGACAGCCACTGCTCTTCCAGTTTTGCAATCTGGCTCTCTAGTTCAGGACAGCTCACAGATGCCATCAGCTGTCTGCCTTCATTAAGAGTCTGGTAAACCCGGGCGTGCTTTTCATCCAAGTTTCTTTTTATTTGCTAATAAAAGTAAAGTCATAGAATGAATCACTTAAAAACAAAACCAGCCAATCTATTCACAAATACTTCCACTAAAAACCAACAGTAGAGGCTACTGAAGCAGTATTAATACTTTCCTAACCTTCGAGACCCTTGCAGTCAAACATGACTAATGGTTTATTGACCACCTTTCACAATGACAGTGACTGACTGACGGATTTCTACAGCACAGATTAGGTTCAATTACAGGCTTATACGTGCAAGCAGAAAATGATTTAGATCTGATACTTAATTCCTTCACCTAAAAACAAAACACAACCTTGACAGTCCATGGGGCTTGAAGACAGGTTGTGTCTGACTGGAAAATTATTTTGAAAGTCAGGAAATTTTATATAGAAATCAAGATTTCCCATGACTCTGTGAAAACTGGAAGATCTAGCAACTTGTGTCTGCATTCCCCCACAGCAAAGATGGGCTGGAATGGGGCACCAACTACAGCTTTATAAGGGTCTGCCCTCGTTGGTACTCTTCCACGCAGCCCCCACGTCCCCAGGGACTGGAGTCCCAGCCAGCGCCCCATACTGTCCTCCTACCCGGCCCCTGTAAAGCCTTTTATATGTGACCTAGGTTTGAAGGGGGTAAATAAGAAAACCTTTATCACCCTTTAGACTCAAATAGTAGGGAAAAAACTAATTTCTAGAGTCTTCTGAACGTGTGGATTCAGTAGGGAGACAGGATGAGGACTTTAGAAGAATAAATTAAAATAGCTCATTGCTAATCCAACATCATGAAAAGAAAAATAAAATTCTACAAAACTGTGAAGACAATGACCTCCGAAGAGAACTCTAAAGGCAATTATGTTCCACAGTTGGGTTCATCTAATGACGTTTATCCTGACAGCAATTTAATCTTTAAAAATAAATAATAATGAAAGTAAAACTTTTGCTATTTCCCAATTAACTTAAGCCTTTAAATATGACTAAAAAATTCCACTTTGGTGTCCTTTCCACCATCCACATTTGTAACCTCCTCTCCCTACCCAACCCTGCAGGCTGGAATAAAATGTCCAACATTAGCTAAAAATTAAAAATGTCTAATTTTTTGAGCTTTCAGTGGGAGACACTTCATCTTTAGAGCATTTCTGAATAGTTTCCATTTCCCAATTTCCCTATTTTGTACACAGGAGCCAGACTGCTCCAGTCACTCAGCCAGGAAGGTGCCAAGCCAGCATCTGAACATGGTTTGTTCAACCTGAGACCAGGCACCCAGTGTCCACATTCCATGGCCCATGCACAAGACAGAATGACCTGGGGAAGTCTGTAAAAGGGGCTTTACAAGGCATCTGTCCTCTTTTAGTTTGGTAAATTTATTGGAAAGCCTTAGAACAGTTATATAATTTTAAAAAATGTTTCAAATTTAACAGAATCACAGGTTACTTTTTAAGGGATATGGTCACTTTTGGGGAAAAAATCAGGCTTATTATCACGTTGACTGATAGGAATAATTTCCTAATATAATGAAGTTTAAGATGCTATCAGTTTTCAATGGTTTTCTTTTAGCTGTCAGATGGTACCCTCTGGACTATAGACTAACAAAGAATTCAAAAGCTGCTTTATGTCCCCCAAGGGGATTCAGATTTATTTTAGAGTTAGGCTCAATATAGTAAAATGGCAAAGAGATTGACTGTCACTTTCTAGGCATCTAGGGAACATAACTACAGCATTCCAGCAGCTGGAAAACTGTTTTTTTTTTTATATTGTATCATTAATATACAATTACATGAGCAACATTATGGTTACTAGATTCCCCCTATTATCAAGTCCCCACCACATACCACATTACAGTCACTGTCCATCAGCATAGTAAGATGCTATAGAATCACTACTTGTCTTCACTGTGCTATACTGCCTTCCCCGTGCCCCCCTGCCTACATTATGTGTGTTAATTGTAATGCCCCTTATTCCCCTTATCCTTCCCTTCCCACCCATCCTCCCAAGTCCCTTTCCCTTTGGTAACTGTTAGTCCATTCTTGGGTTCTGTGAGTCTGCTGCTGTTTTGTTCCTTCAGTTTTTTCTTTGTTCTTATACTCCACAGATGAGTGAAATCATTCGGTACTTGTCTTTGTCGCCTGGCTTATTTCACTGAGCATAATACCCTCTAGCTCCATCCATGTTGTTGCAAATGGTAGGATTTGTTTTCTTCTTATGGAAGAATAATATCCCATTGTGTATATGTACCACATCTTCTTTATCCATTCATCTACTGACTTAGATTGCTTCCATTTCTTGGCTATTGTAAATAGTGCTGTGATAAACATGGGGTGCATATGTCTTTTTCAAACTGGGCTGCTGCATTCTTAGGGTAAATTCCTAGGAGTGGAATTCCTGGGTCAAATGGTATTTCTATGCTGAGTTTTTTTAGGAACCTCCATACTGCTTTCCACAGTGGTTGAACTAATTGAACATTCCCACCAGCAGTGTAGGAGGGTTCCCTTTTCTCCACACTGGAAAATTGTTTCTTATAGGAGCTAAAAGGCCTCCAAAGAACAGTAGGGGCCTGCCAAGTATTTCATGCTTTCATTTTCTATCTGGTCTATTCAGGCAATAAACCTGTTTTTAAAGTTTTAGGGTTGATAATTGGTAACTACCTATAACTGCACAACTCAGTATTTTAAGTTTCTGTTGAGATTTAAACCCTCTTTTTATCTTGTTGGTTGTGTTCTCAGTGCTTGTGGAAAACCATTTTAAGATTTTTATATGGTATTGAACTTGAGATGCAGCAGCTTAGATAATAACAGTATTAAAAGTTATACAAGTATAAAAGTTTGAAGGTTTTAACAATGCTTGTGACAGGTAACAGATTCTTGTATGTTATATATGATTATTATATGTACAAGCAGGGCTCCATTACAGTAATAAAACAAAATATATTGTTTAGAGCCCCATGGTTTACAATGTACTTTCCATACTTTATTTCTATATAGTCACTGATATCCACCTCCTCCGACAGGAAGAATTGGCTTAATTTTCTACACTGTACAGAAAAAAACTGAGGTGTAGAGACAGAAAGGTGACAGAAGTGGTGAGTGTTAGATTCAGACCCAGGGCTCCAGCTCCCAGTCCGACGCGGTTGCGTCGAGGTGCCCATGGCCCATCTGCTGTTCCCCCACTAAGTCTAACAGTGAGTTGTGTGATGAGCAATATTTCATTTCAATTCCATTCTTCACCTTCCGAATCCAGCGATCTAGTTAAAACAAAACAAAGCTCTGTGGACCATGCCTTTGACAGACTGCATGGCAGAAAATACCTGGTAAAAGGAAATCCTTTCCACTAATCTCTCCTCTGTCTCTTCCACCAAACTCACAGAGGGCAATGTGGATACAAGCACTTCCAGGTCCTTTTCAAGAGATGCATACTTTTCATCAAATTCTTCCCATTTCTAGAGCATCAAGAAGATAAAATCAGTGGGGGGGTATTTTCTAGATGAGTTCTGGACAATGACAAAATCAATCATAAAACAAACATGAACTCTGAGACCATACAAATTAAAGCACAGATTCCAGGGGTTTGAGGGAGACAATCCACGCTCTAAGAGCGGGTCTAATGGGAACGAGCGCATTGCCTTTGTGGAGAAGAGCCTAACAGACCTAGCAGTGGTAGTGTTTCATGCTTGTCTCATCAAACCGAGTAGGGGTGAATGAGGTAGGTAAGTGGTACTCTCAGCCGCACCTCGGTGGAGGCCTCAGAGCCGTAAGCAAGTCTTTCCCGTATCTAGAAAGGAGGAGGCTAACTTTTGGAGCTTCTCTAAAGAAGCTCCTGTTCAGCCTGCTTTTGTCCTTCCTGCTCCCATCCCCAGTTCACTGACCATTATTACCCTCCCATGCTGCTTAAAGCTGGAATCCACTGTTTGAGGGGTGTGAGCGTCTACTTTATCAAGGGAGTACTATGGCTTTAGCACTAGCTTTCTTCATTTCCACAGAAGCCCATTACTGGGATTTCAGCACATGACAGCTGACTTCTGGACACTAAATAGTATCTGTTGGAAAAATAACCACCTTACTACTTCTCATTTCTATTGAAAGAGTGGGTCACCTGGCTATTAGGGGCATTCAATGGACATCTGGAGTTTTTTGTTTTTTAAATACCATGAAATATAACTATATCAATTTGACTCAACTGGAAAATTAATCTTAACATAAAATACCACATCATACTATCACACTATAAAGTTGAATATTCCCTAGCTTTTTATTTCCCTATGTGCTAGCATCCACTGTGTCTAAAAAGTTAAAGGGGAGACCTTTACATTGAGAAACAGTGTTATGCAAGCTTAATTTTTTTCTTTGTATTAGGGTAAGGTTTTTGCCATGAATCCATTTCAACAACAGAATGTCTGGGCCTATCCTCTTCAGGAGGTACAGTTTCTGAACAACTATTTCATCCAAATGAGTTCATTCTAGATCTCAAAGTGCTTTCACTTTTGTTTATTTCTGCACAAACCTAGAAGACAGATGCCACTCCTAACATATGAGAAATTCTCAGCTAATGTTTCATTCTGGGAGTAACAGAACTAGAACAGAGTTCCACATGCCTTGCTATTAGTTTCCATTTAAATACTGCTTTATGATAACTAGATATCCATTTTCGACACCTGGAGTGGGTGTTAAAAATCTAGAGTTCATGGCTTAAGCACAAAGTTTACATGACACAAATACCTCCAACAAGCTCTGCAGCTTTATCCCACACTGGTGTGACTTTTCTTCTAGTGATTCAACTTCCTTTATTTGTTCTGCCCAAAATGTCTCTTTCTTTTGCAATAAAGAAGGAAGCATTTTGTTGGAGTATGTTTGGATTGACAGCATGTCAGCAACAAGCTTCTGGAAAAATAGCTATAAAACAAAGTTTTGATACTTATTTTTACATTGTGAAAATCTTAAAACCAAGTTAACTTCAAATTTTTATACTGTGTATTTGCTTTTTAATCCAAAATCCCAGGACAGCCATGTACAGTCAAACATAAGAGAAAAGGAACATGGTCTATATATTCTTTAGCCTTTGATTATATAATGATTTTTTAACAAAACATAAACAAATAAATCACCCTTAGTAGTATTTTTCTACATGTTCCAAAATAGCCCATGTTAAAGGGCAAACATTATAGTTAATTTCAGTTTCCAGTGAGATCTTCCTAAATCAGTAAGTTTCAGTTTTAAGAAACTTTACAAAAAGGTAGATACTGATGTGACTGACTAATTCAAGAGAGTAAATTGAATGGGAAGGTGTTTGAGCCCAAGAAGTCCACACATTCAACTGCTGGGAGTTCTAAGCTCTAGCTCTAACTTTTACTCAGTAAAATGGCTAAATAGAATTTGTTGATGGGGTGTACTGGGATCCTAGTATGTGAAAGCTCCCAGAGTAGCACTTTAACCCTTTGAAGAAGAAGGCTTTCCCTTCACATGGTTCTTCTCCATTAAGTCTCCCCCCTTTAGTTGTTGGAGGAATCTCTTAGGTGAGTCCCTTCTATTCCTTGATGTACAAGCGTTAGCACAGGCTTGACACTTTGCAGATTATTAATTAATATTTTTTCCTCCTCTTCCCCTCCATCTTTTATTCAATATTTACCTCTGAATTTCTTAGACTAAGGTCTACTTACCAAAGGCCTAGACTTCAGCTCGTTGTAGGCAGGAACTATGTCCTACACATTTTTTTATTATCAGAGCATCTTAAGTTACTTTAGCTGGTGCTCTTGAGGCTTTGTTTAATGAAGTAAATGGCAAACTAAAAGATTTATTGTAGCATTACACTAGATACACATTTATATATTTAAATATATATTTCTTTCTATCTCAGTTCTCAGGGAAACCTTTCCTAATCTCCCAAATTCAATTTCCCCTATTAAATGCTCTCTAAGTATGTATCCCAATTTTAATTTTAAATTTGTTCAAATAACTTCCTGATAAATACATCTTCTCAAAACTGAAAGTTCCATGAATGTAAGGAACTGTGTCGGTTTTCATTCACAATCATATTCCTAGAGTTTAGCAGGGATCCTAGTATACATAAGCACGCTAACAGATATTGTAAGAATGTATAAATGATGTATATTTCACCAAGGAAGAAAATGGATGCTCTCTATTCACACTCAAAAAAACTTAACCCTTTGAAAAGGTGATCTGCCTTCCGTGTCTTACCTTGTGATTTTGTATTTGAGTCTGTAAGGAAACTTTACTTTTGGATCGTTGTAAGTGGTCATGAGCAAGCTTTTCCTTTCCAATATTCACTAGTTCCACCATGCCTTGCAACAAAGCATCTTGCTGGCTCTCAGTAATGAATGGACTGCTGAGTTCTGTGTACTTGGCTCTCAGGATTCCCCACATACTGTCAAGTACATCCTGAGAAGAAAGCAGGTGTGCACAAACATTTTCACCCAACCATGAAAATGATCCAAAAGAAGAGCAAATCTACCTTGGTGGAAATGTCTTGCCCCTTATAATCAAAGTAATTCTCTGATTTAATGTTTCCTGCTTAGACAGACCTACCTCTAATTTGTAAACCTCTTGGAGCAAACCATAAGGTAAATGAAGCCTCTCCCCTTCGTCTCTTAGTTTTGCCACTCGGCTCTCAGAGTTCTGCAGCTCCACTGTATAGGCTTCTGCTTTCTAAAGTGAAAGATAATGCAAAAAAGTAAAAACCTTTAATGAGGTAGAGAAGTATAGATACTCATTTAAAAATAATTATATAGTACGGGAAAGAATGAAGGGAAAACGAAGTCCCACTTCCCCTCCATTACCTCCGGCTCTCCCCCAGTACCCACAGCTGACATTTTGCTAATGCATTCCAAGCACGGACCAGTAGGGGTTATATGTGCACCTTCTTAAAGTCACTGAACTGCAGACATCGTTTGGTTCTGCAGTTTGCTCTCATCACTTAGGAGCTCCTCAGCATCACCTCCAATTAGTACAAACATACCTGACTCCTTGTAAACAGATGCTAATATGCTGTTGTGAGGCTGCACACTGCTTTAGAAATGGTCTGTTCTTACTGGACTTTTGAACTGTTCAAGAGTTTTTAAATCAAACAGTACTGTCAGGTCCATCACTGAGTATTTACATATGTACTATCTTTATGCACTGGTCTTACTGTTTTCTTAGGACAAGTGCAAACCATAGTAGGTCCTCAGTTCATACTTGCTGAATAAATTAATGAATTGAAATTGCTGCAGATGGAGGAGCATTTATGCTTGTAATTCCAAGATGTAACCAAATGAACTAATTAGTACTCCTCCCAAGAGGGTGGGGTCTCACTTCCCAACACCCTCACTGATACTGCATAACCTTGCATTTTTGCCCAGTTGATAGGCAACAGCAGTCTTTCATTGTTTGAATTTACACTTCATAAAGTACTTCAGAGATGTTTTTAAAGGTCACCATGAATAGTTTCTATTTTTATTTATTTACAAAAGCCTTGCCACTGCTCACAAAGGGAAGTGGTTCTGAAGCGCAGCCTATACACAAGTCTCACTGGGTCCGAATTAAGTCAGTTTGAATGATTTCGTCTTGATTACCTGAAGCTGTTCATCAATACTCTGGCCACTGATTTCACTCAAAGACTGTTGTAAAGATGTTTTACTCTTAATAAGCTGATCATATAATCGCTTTATTTCATTCTGTATAAAAAGATAAATGCAAGAAACAGTGAGATCTCAGTTAGCCCTTCAGTATTTAATTGTCCTTTTTACTTCCACACTATCAGACACTTCAAGCATTATACCAAAATACAGGAACCCCTGCATTACCATCAGCCAACTTTAATGATTACTGGCTTCTGGCTGGTCGTCACCTCCCCTCTATACCCTCCCTGGAGCTTTCTTAACTACCTAACCTCCCTTCCTTCAGATTATTCTGAAGCAAAGTATTTCACTCGTTATTATGTTTCAGTATGTATCTCTAAAATTCCTCCCTTCAAAAATACTACAAGTTAATGATAATTTTGCAGTATTATTAATTACCCAGAGAGGGTTACATTTCTCTAATTGCCTATGGTTTTTCTTTCAGGTTTGAATTGGGGTCTAAACGAGGTCAAACAGGTTGCAATGGATTAGTATGTGTCTTTAAGTCTCTCGTAATTTTCAGGCTCCCTGCTAAATAAACTCTCTTTTTGGTTTCTTGGATTTTAGGGGGCAGGTGGCAAAAACAGGTCACTTGCACTGTCCAGCTGCCCACTGTCTGGGTTTGGCAGACTGCACTCCCATGGTGCTGCCTAACATATTCTTCATCCTTTGTATCTATTTTACCTGGATTCTAAAAGCTTAATCAGATACAGGTTTGATTTTATGGGCAAGGCTCCTTCATAAGGGGTGTTGTATTTCATTTATTTTTCATTAGACAACTTTGTAGCTTCCTAACTAGTCTACCCGCCTCAAGTCTCTCCACTGATCCAAAGACAACTGCCAAAGGCACCTTCCAGGAACACACACAGGTGGTCATTTAATGGCTCCCTGATAACTAGAAATCCTCCCATGGAACATTAAGTGGCTGAATGTCATACAGGAAAGAAACACTACTTTGGTTCAACGTAACCAATTCAAGTTGATTTTGGAAGGGTTGTGTTTTCAAACGGTCTCCAACCATGAGCAGCAGAGCTGACTTAAAGACCTTCACTGAAAGCATGTCTCACCGCTTTCCTTAGCAATTCCAATTCATGAATGCCACCAGGAGTAGAAATTTAAGGAAATTAGGGGTCCACCCTGTAACTTAAAACTGTGCAGAAGATGGTGGAGCACCCACACCTATACCTGGTAACTGCGGGTGTAGTCGAGGCCAGCTTTCAGGGACTTGCTTCTGGAGGCAGCTGTCGCCCGGGTGTGCTCCAGGTAGACGAGGAGGTTATCCCAACAGTCTAGGAACAAGCTGGTGTTCTTGCCAGGCCAATTCATGGCTTTCAAAAGAGCATCCTTTTTGTCATTCATGGCTAAGTAAAGCTTTTTCAGCTCCAGAGCCAGTGTCTGCAAAGTAGGGAGGCAAGAAGGCGGTGAGTGCACTCTGACCTGAAGAGGCTTCAGCTCTGGCTGACTCGTGAGCTGCCTGTGTCAGGACCAGCACCCAGGCCGTGGTGTTCCCTACCTCACAGAGCACCTGCTGCGCCCAGACATCCTCCCTGAGGAGCCCAGGGGTCTGCAGCATCTCTTCCACCCGGCTGAGGCACTGACTGAGGGGTAGAAATAGTTCAAATAGTTTTTTATCCAAATTTAAGTATGTTGCTTCAGTCATATTTTCCTGAAATCAAGAGTAGAAAAGAAAAAAATTAAGATTCCTTGCCTTCCTAATCCTACCTCTCCCTTGGTTTCCACTATAATTCATAATATATATTTTTTAAAATAATTAGTTATTTTGAATACTTTGTGAACTAGGTAGCAGAATAAATGAAACTAAGATGTTAACTCTGAGAAAAACAAGTTTAAGAAACCCAATGTTAGGTGACATGACTATTCAATGAAATTAAAAGGTAAATCACAAGGTGAAGGACTTCCTTAAGTGGAAGCATGGTCCCAGCTCAGTCAGGCTAGCTCTCTTCCCATGCTCCCTGCCTCCCACAACTTAACGGAGGGGAACGGGCTAATGAGATCAGGCATGACCTGGAGAAAACAAGTCAAGCAACTTGAAGGGGGTTTGTAAGAAAGAGGTATAGTATCTTAAAGACAGCAATGGTACAGCATGCTGACTATATAGTTAACAATGCTGTATTCTGTATTTGAAAGTTTCTAAGAGAGTAGATGTTAAAAGCTCTCATTGCAAGAAAAAAACAATCTATGTATGGTGAGGGAAGTTAATTTGATAAGCATTTTGCAATATATACAGTAATCAAATCATTACGTTGTATACCTAAAACTAATAATATTTTATGTCAGTTATATTTAAAAAATAAAAGACAGGGATGGGTTGTGGAGCAGGCAGGTGTCAGGACGTCACTTATGAGCTGATTGTGACAATGAAGGCCACTGCCAAATGTACAGCTCTAAGGGGGGGCCCCCAGGGTTGTGCAACTGTGCTCCACTGAGTTTAGAGCCACAGGTCTGTTTTGGCACAACCTATTAGAACCACTCCTTTTTCTTTACCTGTAATCACCTTGAATTTCTGACCAGTTACAAGTAATTTAGGAGCATGCCAAAGCTAATAATCACCCCATTTGGGCTGTTTCCCTGTCTTCTCTGAAGGACACCTGATGTCACCCAGCACACCATCTCAGCATTAAGCTGACTCAAGGTTGGAAACCCTGCCAATCTTCTCTCCTTTCTCGCCCTCCAATGCCAGAGCACCCTGCAGGCAGCACTCACGAACCATGATCCTTCTTCCTGCTAATCCGGGACTCAGGTACAAGAGCCTGAGCACATGGTGCCCTAGGCAGCCACTATCACACTTCCCAGGTACGGTAAGAGAGATCACTGCTATTTGCAGTTCTAGAATCTATTCCAGTATATGTTCTATTTGTTCAGTAAATTATGGCCAATTCACAATATCACACCTCCCTTCTTTTCTGTCATTGCAGTGAGGAAAATATATTAAATATGCAGCTGCTACCTGTATCTGAAGATTTGCTTCTTGACGCAGATCTTCAAGTTGGGTGGTGTAAGTTTTCAGCTCTTCAGTTGTTGGGTATCTAAAGTTATACACATTCACACTGGGTAGAATACTTGTATTTGTGGTAACCTATTTGACAAAGGGAGACCCCATTACAGAGAGTTTGGGGTTGTGCTGATGTTCACTTAAAATGGCAAAAATGCCTCAGTATGTTATCTTCTAAGATACATACCTTCTTGAGAAGTGTTTTTGACTCTCTTGTCATAAGAAAATATCTACATTAAATTTATAATATTTTGGACAGCTTTAACAAGTCATGACAGGCTTTACTTGGACACTGAAGGGTCCATTCAGGTATCAAAATGAGGGAAATTAAATCATAATTTGAAAAACAGTAAAATCACTCATTTTTCAATTTAGTAGCAATGCTATACATTTACTGGTAGACCCCTGGTCTATGGCCAACTCTCAGAACATAGTCATCACCCCCAGGGACAGATCAACACCTTGATTTGTTATTGAAAAGCTAAGTAACTATTGAAAATGAGCTGTGACTTCAGGAGGGAGAACGATTCAGAGTTAATTTCTTTCTCAAACTGGAAAATTCACATATAAAAAGAAGCAGGGAGGGATGGTAAATGACTATGCTCAGGGCAACTATGGATAGTATTCTTGGAGAATGATATACATTTTGCAGTGTGTATGACAAGGAGAAACCAAGACTAAAACCCTAACCAATGAGTTTGATTCAACTTTCATTGGTCAAATAAAATTCTTGGCAGGACAGAACTGAAGAGATCCCACAAGACTGGGGAATTGTTGGTAACCTTTGCCCAAGCAGTTTGAGTGCAAAGTTGAAGGCAGGAGCTTGATTGCTGGGAACAACAGTGCTATTCTGCTCCTGGGCTCCCTACTTAGAGAGAAATCCAGCAGTAGCTGGCACAGTATGAATAAAACCTGTAGTGGTAATGATAGAGTGTGCTGATGGGAATACTTATTCACAGGTACCCCTGGCACAGGGCCAATACACAGCAGATTCCAAATCATCTTTTGATGAATGACTGACATTCTTATAGAACCGTACTATATTTTTAGAGCATTCTTTACATGTATTATTCATTCAACATACAGTAGCTGAGATTTCATAATGTTTCAGGTACTGTGCTAGGCACTCCAATGTGAACCAGACAGGCTGTTCTATTTGTTCAGTAAATTATGGCCAATTCACAATATCACACCTCCCTTCTTTTCTGTCATTGCAGTGAGGAAAATATATTAAATATGCAGCTGCTACCTGTATCTGAAGATTTGCTTCTTGACGCAGATCTTCAAGTTGGGTGGTGTAAGTTTTCAGCTCTTCAGTTGTTGGGTATCTAAAGTTATACACATTCACACTGGGTAGAATACTTGTATTTGTGGTAACCTATTTGACAAAGGGAGACCCCATTACAGAGAGTTTGGGGTTGTGCTGATGTTCACTTAAAATGGCAAAAATGCCTCAGTATGTTATCTTCTAAGATACATACCTTCTTGAGAAGTGTTTTTGACTCTCTTGTCATAAGAAAATATCTACATTAAATTTATAATATTTTGGACAGCTTTAACAAGTCATGACAGGCTTTACTTGGACACTGAAGGGTCCATTCAGGTATCAAAATGAGGGAAATTAAATCATAATTTGAAAAACAGTAAAATCACTCATTTTTCAATTTAGTAGCAATGCTATACATTTACTGGTAGACCCCTGGTCTATGGCCAACTCTCAGAACATAGTCATCACCCCCAGGGACAGATCAACACCTTGATTTGTTATTGAAAAGCTAAGTAACTATTGAAAATGAGCTGTGACTTCAGGAGGGAGAACGATTCAGAGTTAATTTCTTTCTCAAACTGGAAAATTCACATATAAAAAGAAGCAGGGAGGGATGGTAAATGACTATGCTCAGGGCAACTATGGATAGTATTCTTGGAGAATGATATACATTTTGCAGTGTGTATGACAAGGAGAAACCAAGACTAAAACCCTAACCAATGAGTTTGATTCAACTTTCATTGGTCAAATAAAATTCTTGGCAGGACAGAACTGAAGAGATCCCACAAGACTGGGGAATTGTTGGTAACCTTTGCCCAAGCAGTTTGAGTGCAAAGTTGAAGGCAGGAGCTTGATTGCTGGGAACAACAGTGCTATTCTGCTCCTGGGCTCCCTACTTAGAGAGAAATCCAGCAGTAGCTGGCACAGTATGAATAAAACCTGTAGTGGTAATGATAGAGTGTGCTGATGGGAATACTTATTCACAGGTACCCCTGGCACAGGGCCAATACACAGCAGATTCCAAATCATCTTTTGATGAATGACTGACATTCTTATAGAACCGTACTATATTTTTAGAGCATTCTTTACATGTATTATTCATTCAACATACAGTAGCTGAGATTTCATAATGTTTCAGGTACTGTGCTAGGCACTCCAATGTGAACCAGACAGGCATGGTCAGTCTTCTAATATTATCTCATAGGGAACAGAAACAAACAGGTGCACAGTACGGTGAGAGCTATGATCATGGAAGCCCAGGGTGCAATAGAAGCACAAAGGAGGGACATAACGCAGACTTCTGGGAGGGTGAAAAGGGGTCAGCCAAGCGAAAACCCTTTGGCATCTTTACTTTCTCAACATAAACTGCTACATAATGCAGAAGACATATGTGGATTTAATGAATGCTTGAGTTTTGAAAGATAAACATCATCATTTACATTGTATGCAGACACAGACTGACCTGAGGCTGCACAAGCTCTGGTACAGGTAGCCTTATTTTTGATGAGAGTTCATGATGAAAATATTGCCATTTATCTCCACTTTGGCCTTGGCTTGACAAGACTGAGTCTGGAGAATCGTTTTGGTGGCTAGATGCCTCACTGCTTTTAATGGAAAAGAGAGGCGAAAAGAATAATCAACATACAAAATTTAATTACATTCAGACAATATTTTATAAGTGATTTAAAAAAAACCCTTAATTCTCTCAATCATAAAACAATGGCATGTCCAACTCTTAAAATGTTTTACCTCCCAGATGATTTCTGAGTTGTATCTTTATCGTGTTGGCAATACTGGGGCCACATTTTCTTAGCATTAAATTCTATGAATTTGATTAAATCTTTCTGTTCCATTGGCTTTAACTCCAGAACCTACAGTTGAATGAGATTCAAATGGTCCAATTAATCAAAGTTTTTAATTAAGTATCCAAGAATTTCTTCTGTTGAGATAATCTGATTTTAAACAACTTCCTAAATCATTATATACTATTTCTCTTTCTTGCTTCTTGTTCCCATTTTTTATTTCTCCAGAACCTATTTAAAATATTTTTACAATGACCAACTGTTGTTTAATATATATTACATACATAGAAAGTCACTGGAAATACACTTACACATTCTGGAACAATAGGGAAATAGGTAAGTTCACCCTGAACATGTTTGTTCATTTGATGTAAGATGCATGTTAATAAAGTAGCAAGGTTGGAGTGTCCCCTGCTAGAGTCCAAGAAAGCTAAGCAGGTTCCTCAGTATATGCTCAAAACTCACACACAGGGACACCAACACACTGTACTTTTCATTCAGTCTCCTAAGAAAACACTCTAGTGGCAGGTCGGTATTTGGTTCAGCAGGGAAGTCCATACGGAAAGCTATTCTTACCCTTGTACTGTGAAGGGCTGGAATTACCTGTTGCTGTGGCAGGTCTTTTTGTCTGTTGAACTGTGGCCTTTCGGTTACCACATATTCCAATTCAGAGAGGTCATCTGGTTGGGGAACTTTCTGATGCTCCAAAGATTTCTTTAGAATGGTAGAATGCTGCAAAAATGTTACGATGGCAACTATTTAAAAAGATGACCCACATTATTTCAATTCTAATAATGAGACTACATAATGGAAATGTTTTATATGAAGTGATTGTATTTTGTTATTTAATTATATGCTACGATTGAATGTACTTATTTCATAACAAGTCATCTTATTTTCTCAGCTTAATTCATCCAACAAATTACTGAAAGCCAGGAAATCTATTGCTTATTTTTTGAGAAATAAAAAAAAAAAAGAAAAAATAGAGAAATAGTAGTTGTCTTCTGATTTCAAATTCTCCCTGTCTAAGACTTTAGTAGATTTTTTTTAAAAAAGAGACAACACCTTACGATGACAGGGGAGCCTGTGTATCTGCAGCCAATCTTATTTCTGCAAATGAAAGTCCTTTAAATAGGAGCCACCATCTCGTAAGTATGGAAGCAAATCTTGTACAGTAAGATCATATTCTTAAGATGCATATTTGCATTTATAAACACAGAATGCTTTTGAAAGTCACAATAATACTTTAATTGTATGATACTTTGATCAGTGTACACAAATACTTGTAAATGAATAACAAAAGTACCTCATTTAAGAGGGCTCAACCAGAAATAGGTTTTATGTTTTTTTATAAGAAAAAAATTTTTATTAATGAGAATGTAATTTTTAAAATTATCATTAATCTACAATTACATGAAGAACATTATGCTTACTAGGCTCCCCCCTTCACCAAGTGCCCCCCATACACCCCATTACAGTCCCTGTCCATCAGCGTAGTAAGATGCTGTAGAATCACTACTTGTCTTCTCTGTGTTGCACAGCCCTTCCCA